ATAAGCCACAGTGATTGATGACAAATCGTTTTCACGTCGCATCATTCGAAACACGCAGAGAAGCATATTTAAACAAATTGGCTCGTGCTTCGATTCAAATGAAAATAATTTTAATACTAGTGAAGCTTTCCTCATATTGTTTTCGTCAATCCTCGTTGCAGATGCATCTCCATTCGGATATATGTTGTCAATGGCATATACTGTCATATTTTGTTAAGTATAAAACTTCATATAATCACCAACCTCCAGGATTTGAAGTTTTTTTACAAACTAACTTCATACTTCACAAGTTATCTGGCACCAGCGTTTAAAGATAAAACTTATTATTTCCACATTCTACACCAAATACGCAGAACAATCCGGAACGAACGACAACCCATGGTACATGACTAGAAGACCACATTCTCACTATAAAAGCAAAATACCTGCCACTGCCTGTTCCCACAGTACTGACGAACTGGGTTTGATCAATTCTTTAGAAAGTCTGAGGGAAGATATCACTGCAAAGGCCCACCAAGTGTTGAGAAAAAACGTCAAGTATCTCTATGACAACATTAAAAGATTGAGAGTTCAGTCATTAGAGATCAGGAATTTGTGCTCCCAAGTGAATCTAATGGTTATAGCCTTAAATGATAAATTGGTATCTCGCAACACAACAAAGAGTGAAAGGGGAGTGTAAGTCATGACACGTCCGACGTGATAGACCGCAAAAAGTGAGAGGCATGAAGATAAATGTTTACAACCATGTGTCGAAACACCACACTGTTCCCAAATAACTGACTCTACAGAACAGTCTGATGCTACCTCAACGTGAATGGCAAGAAGTATTTCGTTGGAAGAATATATTGGCCCCTGTTAGGTACTAAATTCCAGAATGACTAGTTGATTTAAGCCATATCGTAACATCTATTCCCGGGGTTTGGCGAAACTTTCTTAGCTGAGGGTATTGAAACTTCATCCTTTAATCTCAGCAATCAGCCCGAAATAGCCGAATTCAAAGGTGACTTTTCACAGCTACTTGTATTTTAGAACATATTGGGCATGTATACAAATCCAGTAGGTGGACTAAGGATGAGGAAAACTGAAGCCAGGTTTCTTTAACAACTAGTGAGCAGCATCTATGTAAGGATTTCCATGTACACACACAGAGGAAATAGTAACTGTGACGTAGCAATTTTCAGTATAGTCACAAACAAATACACAGTGTGGACAAAGGCACGTCCTTCATTCGTTACACTAGGGCAGAATAGACAACCGAGAGATAGCATCTTCTACACTCCCCATGACTACGAGATTTCTGAAGGCTAGCAGTTAATAATCAGTGCAGACAAATATATACAAATTTCAAGGAATAAAATATACCGGTCTGCTTAATACTCTTTAACTTCATGAAAGCTCCAAACGCAGTACCTCACGTATTCCAAACTGGAAAAAATGCGAAAATGGGTTTGCTGATCTACATCTTGGTTCAGAGAAAACTGTGAGAACAAAAAGTTTCGCGACAACTTAAATGGAGTTTATTGTAGCTGTTGAGTTTCAACATCAGACGTTTCGCAAGGGACAATCTCAGGCTCACACTTCTCCCTGATGTTCATTAACGATGCGTAAGATAAAATTAACTCATCTGCATTCACTTACGTAAGCTAAGAGAAGCTAAGAGAATTCAACTGAGTTTCAATAGTACCTTGCATCAGTTGACAAACGGGCAGTTAAAAATGGTTTAAAACTAACCTAGTAGTAATTTTACGTTATAAACATTCTGCCGTGCGTGATTCAAAGGACTTGCGCTCTCGATGGAAGTTCACTGCCTAATATCTCAGAGCGCGATTTTGGTCTGAGAACCACTGAAACCTAAACATCAGTTGGAAGTACATAAGGGACGAAGACATGGCTAATGCGACTCTTCACTTTATACGCAGACAACTTGGCGTTAACCATAACCTAATTAAGACTTGAAAAGGCCCACCCCTTGCGGTTTACAACCTCGTTACAGAGGGTTAGAGGTGATCTGATAATAGCGTACAACTCACTCATGTTAGCCTGAGCATCTTACGGAAGCATTGTCACGAAGCCGCATGATGCAAGCCTCGAATAAATACTTATCAAAGAATAAATCTCAGGTTCTTGAACACTCTTAAGCATTAAGAGTTGTCGTGACTTGGAAAGCTTTCCCAGTCAAGGTGACCACTGACTTCTCATTGGATAACTTCAAGAAGAGACTCGCTAAAAACGTACTCACGTTTGGATTGTCATCTCCCTCTTGGACCAGCCGTGTACGATGTATGTCTCGAAACCTGCTGGTTGTTATAATCGTCGTTCCATCAGGTTACTAACTTATTCGCTTGTTTTTATCTCTATTTCTACTTCCTGGCGTACACTTCTTTTCTCTAACGCGATCCGTCTATTTAAGTAGTCCTGAGATCTCATCGTTATCTTCTCATTAAAGTTGTAATTTTATCCACATTATTTTCAAATTTGCAGCCAATTTATCTTCAGTCCAGTAATTCAATGGCCGCTAATATCCAGAGACATTACTACTCTGAGGCGAATGCACTCATTAAAAGCACAAGACATACAAATTCATAAATAACTCCCAAGTGGCTATAATTAGTACAGTCGAGTGGCTAGACTACCATCAATTGGACACTATCAAATATTTGGAACCGTTCCAAAAGAACAGGAATCGAGCGCAAACAAATCAGTTGCTAGATAACAGCTTGTGAAGAAGATATTGGAAAAAGCCAAAGGTCAGAGGACTTGAAATTGTGTCTTATGTAATCCCCGAGGATCGTGATGAATCGTCGCTAACTTTGTTCAAAATATTGCAAATTGCTTTCAGTCAGCCATTCACAAACACTCAGAGTTGTCGAATCGTTTGCCGGCAAAACCTACATGGAGGTTTATATCAACCCTTACAAATAAATAGTTTAATCACAGCCAAACACTGAATAATGGAGGTGTGAATTTAAAAGTATTCAGTCCTCAAAAGTCTTAGACAAGACTAGCGAGGAGCAAAGTTCGAAAATGTTTTTGAATGCAACTAATGCTTGACAGCAGTGAAACAGAAGAAAAATGTGGAATGAATACTGATTAGTGCGGATTAACCTATAGATATTAGTATCAGAAGTATTAGTTCTCAATGGGACAGGAATTCATCATCACAGCTAAAGCCATGTTATGTAAAAGAACAGAGAAAAACAATTTCAATAATACCTAAAGAATGTTACTTGAAATTTTCTAATTCACCATCGGAGATAGAACAGATAAAATCAATAAATGTTCTTCCTGGTACTTGAATATGACATCGTGAAGATGATGCATGTGGTCGTAAAGTGCGATTGAACAGTCTGGTTAGATTATAAGTTGTTCATTGTCAAGAGCACAAGTTTACTTGAACTGAAGACCATACATTTACTTTGGGGGGAGGCAGAAATTAACAATTCATTTAGAATAAATGTTGTACGATGAAACTGAAGATGAATGAAGAAGCATATAGCATCAAATTAGTATTCATTGTATTGCAGCCAGTAATCAAATACTGCTCACTTCCACTTCAGTTACGGAGGTTGGACGGATTAGAGAGAGTCTCTCTTCACCACTAATAGCTTTTTAGGTCTGTAAAGTGAGCCCGCCGAGGATGAACACTGAGATTATAGACGTTAGATGTATGTTGCGGTATAAAAGTAAGAGAAGATTCATGTTTCGGACAGAGAGGACTAATAGGGCGACTCTAGTCACTGGGCCCAAAGACAGAATTCTGGCCAAATGAACCTGGCGGAACCTCTTAGTAAGAATTTCTTCGAATGAACCAAAGCAGTTGTTCTTAGTAATATGGTCATAAATTATAAATTAAAGCTGGAACCTGTAAAGCGGAGGGTTTCAGTTCACATTCTTGTGTCCGATTGTACCACAAATAATGATTCCACAAATGATAAACTGGTAAAGCAATCCCGTCCCCAGTTTTGTCTCTAAATGAGTAAAATTACCAGTAATTTTTAAAACTAGAATAAATTAAAACAATCTGTACAAGAAATAATATCATTCCTATCCTTTGTTTGCTTCATCCATGCTCACTTACTAGAAAATGACTTAAGTGTCTTCAAACCTGCCATCATATCTAACGCAACAAGTGAGACTATAGCAGCTCTGAATGTTTTATCGTCTTAGTTTATACACCTACTAATGAAATCCCCTCACATACAAATACTCCAGGCAAAGGCTGTCCCTTGTTAATCTATTTATTATGATGAGAATTTAGCATGGACATTAAATTATGAAACAGTCTTGGGCTTGTATCATAGTAGACCTGACGGTAATAATGACTTTCGTTGTTCCGAGCTTACTATTTCCGTTTTATTTTCTCAATTTATAGATTATAATAACTAATCTGTTGTGGCACTGGAAGCGACATTTAATAAAACGTTCATTAAAAACAGGAAGTTAAAGTAACTACTATTTCTTGACAGACGCCTTGCATTACTGCGACACAAGTGAAAATGTGATTCTCGAACAGTCAGTGGACAAAATGCTCCGAACAATATACTACGACCTACCTATCCACTGCACTTAAAATTAACAGTTATTCCAAGATGTTCACTCTTTAAACTGTCATTGTTTCGCTAAAAATTATTTCCAGAATGTATGATTATGTTTCATTGATTCATTTTTATTACAATTTCACATTTTCGATTGCAGTACTCTCAATAACTTCCATCACTTTTTTGCACTCCTACAAAAGTTTTTTGAGTAATCCCATCGTTAGATTGAAAACTTTAACTCTACAAATCCTTCTGTTTTCGCACAACAGCACACGAATAAGAACTTTCAGCAATCGGACACATTGGATGCATCGTACCATAGTGAAATATTGATCCTAGTAAGTCAAAGCCGAAGTTCCGAGACCATTGTTAAACATAAGGACTTAGACTCCAGAAAATTATTCGGTTTACACTAGTTTTCTTTCAAAAGAGACTTTTTGTTCGACAAAAGACAATAAATGTTTCCAAGGTTGAGTTAATGGGAGCGGGCTTTGAGAAGTTAGATCCACGTTTGGTTGTTTAAGTGGACGCGAATATTGTACTTTCTGTTAGAAATGCTGGGTTACAATAACTCTTCAGATTTTCAGAGTAGTGTTGTGATCTTTCTTACTCTCTCCTAGAGATTGGCTTAGGCCTCCTTGCTTTTGGAGTGGCTTTCCTTTGTCTCGGTGTACTCTTCTTCTTTGATGCTGCTCTCTTAGCTCTAGGTAATGTAAGTTTTCAATATAAATCTATGCCACTTCTTTAAGGTTCTTTTCTTGGGCGGGATAGGATGTCTTATTGGATTACAGAAAGCTTGCTCTTTTTTCTTCCGCCGCACGAGTGTAAAAGGAGCGGTTTTCTTTTTTGGTGGAATAACTGTTGTCATGTTTGGCTTTCCGTTCATAGGAATGTTATTGGAAATCTATGGCATGACGAATTTATTCAGGTAATAAAACTACAAATATATGCGTTCTGTGCATTGTTATTACAAGTAATAGTTATGGATTTAAAAGGTGTTCACTGCGATTTTTAAATAATTATTTTGTAGCTCATCATGTTATTCGACTTGATATTCAGTCTCAAACTTGCGAGACGACTCAGAATTTTAAACTGTTTAGATCATCTCATCACATAAACAGACTAATTTTATATAGCTATAGATTTCTGTTCACTTTATATAAATTAAACACGTAATCATATCCCAACCTATTTCAGTTAGTAGGGGACATCTCGAACTAGCATTCATGTGGACCATACGATTGATTTCTGATTTAGTCTCACTATGTTTTCGTCATTGACATATTATTTTCAGTCTCCTACTATTCATGCACTTCGTTTCTTACTATTAGCGTTGACTAAACCTTGTATTTAGTTTATCAAGTAAGTTTTTACACTTCTAAATTTGCTATCGAATATTGGGCTGTTTATAACTAGAAAGAAATCTTAAGACTGAAACGAAGTTTTGCTGTTCTGTAAACTTAATCCTGTTTCCTTAATTCAGACTATAAACAGGATGATTATCAGTTGTTTGACAGTTTCAGTTTAAACTGACGCATTTATGCAACGGTTTATGTTTGTGTTCGAGAGGTTAAATCAGTGTAAAGTCGTTCTATTAATTCTTTTTGAAATTCAACATTAGGGTTCACCGAAGTCATCGCAAATTAAATATTGAAACTAAGTCGTTCAGTCTTTCTACTAAATTCCTTATTAGAGTACAGTGACTTTCCTTTGGGAAAGCTTTTAGAATCATCTTATTAGAGCAAGATATTCAGTCATATTTCAAGCTGCACTTGCTATTCCTATTAATCTTACCAATAATTTCGGACCAACATGATCGAAATTCTCAGGGATTTCTTCATTATACTTTACTTAAAATTAGTTATCAACTTTTCCCTTTTAGTGAACATTAAAACCTTGATATAGACTCACGTATACTGTCAATGTATGGTAATTAATGGGTAGTTAAGCTTTTCCTTTAGTCGTTTTGCCTCTTGTCTTAGTTATGTGGTCTAAATAAATTAGTTTGACCCTATTTCATGATAGTATACCTTTATTCATCTTTCTAATCTTTTATAACCTCATCAACTTTTTAGTCTCACCATTCGCTGCTATTTCTGCATGGTTTTATTCCCCGCTACTTCTCATGTTGACCAAACTGACATTCGGTTAATTTTCATCCTTTGTTTGAATGAGTTTCTGGACACAGTTGGTGGAAACTACTCATTCTCTTCTCTTGACATTTTAGTCTAGATTCCTAGCTGAAATCAGTTCTGTTAATACAACCGGGATTCCTCAGAATAACCTTCCTTTTCTTGCTACTCTAAGTAGCTAGCTAATTATTCCCCAAATATGTTTTTAAAATTTTTCAGACCGAGTTTAATGAGATTCTCTTATGTTCATTAAAGCAAAAATGTCTCTATTCGACTATGAGCTAGGTTCAGATATAGTCTCCAAAAAGCTAATCTATCGACATTCCATCATTAGTTTATTTCACTAATCATTCTGTCCACTGTTGCACTGACGACAGTTTTTTTTTGCGTTCTCTCAAATCCTAACCTTCTGAATTCCTCATCACATTTGTCGTTTTCTTTTAAGTTTATTACACTAGATCCTACATCTTGAATAATATCGTCGAACCGTAAACTTTCCGATTACTGTTAATACTTCTACTACCTCTACAACTATGGGATTTAAACAGACAATTGTATCTCTGTGTTAATGTGGTATGGTAATTTGAACTGATGTCCGTACGTACGAAGTTCTATGTTGTTGACTGACTGACTGACTGACTGACATGGGTGCTGAAATTACATTTACTACACATGAACACCCAACTTTCCAAAAAAGTTTAAAAAAGGCTTTAATAATACCATTTATTTTATTGGAATTGTTATTAAAAGAATAAGCAATCGTTGCAGAGAGATAACTGCATGTATTCTTATCGTCTTGAGTTCCTACAGTCGACTAGAATCTATTCAATCAATCAGTCAACAGCAGCGTAGAACTTCCTACATATGTGCATCAGTTCAAGTTACCATACCACAATGGCACAGAGATGCAATTTTCAATTCAAATCCCATAGTAGTAGAGGTAGTAAAAGTATTAGAAGTAATCAGAGAGATTAGGGCTCGAATATGTTATTCAAGAAGTATAATTCAGTGAGGTAAATTTAGAAAGAGAAAGATAGAGGTGATGAGGAATTCAGAAGGTTAGAATTTCATAGAACACAAAGAGTAAATGCACCTGCGCCATTGCAAACGGTTTTGAGCCATGTCACTCAGGGTCTCTAACCACCGATTACTATCGTCTCGCGGACCCCAACCAGGTAGTCAACACCTACCAACATGACTCAGTTCACTTATCAGTAACTTCATGGGTTTGTGCCATGTTTTGGTTTGGCCACCCCTAGCTTTCTTCCAACCTACTCCTACACCACAAGACTGCTCGTCGAGGCAGTCGGTGGTTGGGCATACGTAACACATGTCTCAGCCATCTAAACTAATGAAGTTTCACTACTTCATCAACTGATCTGCCATCCCTACGTGGAACGCGTTTCCTAACGACAGCATTGCTCACTTGGTTGTCCCAGCAATGCTTCGAAGACATCTATAATCGAACACTGATAACCTACAAATGTCCTCTACTCTTAAGGGCCAAGTCTCGTATCCGTACAGTAGGACGGACCAAACTGCTGCGCAGTACACCCGTCCTTTGGTCAGCGAACGGATATCTCGCCTACGCCATAAGTGACGCAGGTTGGCAAAAGCCAATCGAGCCTTCTGTATCCGAGCTAAGATTTCGTCAGTCACCAGGCTATCAGCAGTGATGAGACTCCCGAGATAACTGAAGCAGTCTACACGCTCGACTACTTCACTCCCTATCACTAGTTCAGTTGGAGATGCAACCCAATCGTGAAGCAACATTTTGCATTTCGAGGAGGAAAACCGCATCCCGAACATGCTTGCATTGTTGCTTAGGGTCGTCGGAAGACTCTGCATTTTAGAATCCATTCAAAAAGTATCTATTTTAATTTCTAATTAAGCAATACACCTGCATCTGTTAGACAGTAACAAGCTAATATTTAATCCTCAAGTAGGAAAAGAATAAATTTCACCGATTCTCCATTTTAGTTATGTTTCCGTATGACTAATGAAGCCTGTTGCCCAGCGTAAGACATTCTGAACATTAAAAGCCCTTACATGTAGCTTAAGGCGTCATTTTAAGAGACGAGAGGTAAAATTTCACTTATTCGACTTGTTAACTTCGGTCAAGTTTGCAGAAGCGAAGGAAACTATTGAAAAAAAAAGAATGATTACATCAATTGACCAAGTACTATGAATTTGGTGGTAAGCAAGAAATACTGTTTTGCTATCGAGTAGTTGGAATTTTCTAGCAATCTTAGTTTAGCGATTAATTGTTGAAGGCTGCTTACACAATCTTTCTGTGTAATTCATGTTGTTCAGTCCCCTCCCTACTCCATTTTCCTCAAATTTCATAGTCAGCAAAACTGCTGTACACTATCAGGATTTCAGTTACTATTTAGTAATTTCCTTTTCTGTTCAGTCAATTACTGTTTCGTTGTAACAAGTCCTAACTGATAATCATGTATACTTTTTTACGTTTTAGTAAATTTATCCCAGTAGCAATCAAATTCCTGTATGGTGTTCCTGTAATCGGTTGGATTTTATGGCTTCCCGGGATTAATGGAGTAAGTAATTCACTTAACACAATCATATTTTCCTTTTTCAACTTACTCGTTAAAGTTCATCTCAAGATTAAAATCTACTAGATAGGTTTCTTGCCCAAACTTGATAATTTCTAACTTTTACATTGCTTAACTAAACAACTTCAGATATGATGGTTAATTCAGTATTTACTTATTTACCTGGGCTTCTTTAAATAGAATTTTAAAACTATATCAATGTCATAGAAGTTCTCCACACTTTTTTTCATCATTATCGTTTAACAACTATTCTTATACTGTACGTACTTACTTACTTACTTACGCCTGTTACCCCAAATGGAGCATAGGCCGCCTACCAGTTTTCTCCAACCAACTCTGTCCTGGGCTTCCCTCTCCAGTTATGTCCAATGTTTGTTCATTCCTCTAATATCTTTCTCTATTTCTCCTTGGCCTTCCTCTTTTCCTTTTGCCTTGAGGGTTCCATGTGAGGGCTTGTCTCGTGACGCAGTTAGGTGCTTTCCGCAATCTATGTCCTATCCACTTCCACCGCTTCTTCCTGATTTCCTCCTCCACTGGAATCTGACTTGTTCTCTCCTACAGTTCGTTGTTGCTGATGGTGTCTGGCCAACGAACCCGAAGTATTTTGCGTAGACAACTGTTAATAAACACTTGTATCTTCTGGATGATGCCTTTCGTAGTTCTCCATGTTTCCGGTGCATACAGTAGAACTATCTTGACATTTGTATTGAAAATCCTGATTTTGGTTTTGGTTGAAAGTTGTTTGGAGTTCCAGATATTTTTCAACCGTAGAAATGCAGCCTTTGTGCTTTGCCAATCCGCGCCCTCACATCTGCATCGAATCCACCTTTCTCGTCGATGGTGCTGCCCAGATATGTAAAGTTGTTAACGTCCTCGAAAGCATCTCCATCAAGAGTGATTTGGTTGGTGCATGTTGTGTTGCATCGGAGAATGTTGCTTTTTCCTTTATGTATGTTGAGACCTACTGCTGCAGAGGCTGCTGCTACACTGGTTGTCTTTTGCATTTGTTGCTGCGTGTGCGACATAGAAGAGTGAGGTCATCTGCGAAGTCCAGATCGTCCAGCTGCGTCCTAACTGTCCAGTTGATACGGATACTGTACGTGGTCTATGCCTATTAACATGGCTTACCCCTATTCTCATATTTGAACAGAAATTGACTTTATGGAATGTGATAATTAAGTAATCATACATATGATTCGAAAAAACACGTAGTAAAGTTTCGTATTATTGTTATGTAGCCACAACAGCAGTTTTAATCTCACCTATTGAGTCTCATATTCGAATCTCGCTTCATAAACTTTAATTTCAATAGCTGAGTAATATCATTAGCCAGAATACAAATAATGTACCTCGAACTTTGACACATTAATTGACCTGTATTTGTTAAGTGAGCTACCTACCTACCTTCTAAGATTTTAAAAACTCACTTTTAAACAGGTTAACGATTGTTTCATTTCTGAATAACATAACTTTGTTCACAGTTCGTTGGAAAAGTCTAAGCTCTATAAATTTCTGTGAGCTTCAAGCTTAAGAGACTTTTATTTAATGCACGTTACAGCTGATAAAAAAAAGGGCACGAAAAGTTGCTTGTGCCAGACAAATGCAAATGTAACATTATGAAAAGCAGTCCATCCGACAACGATGTCATGAAATAATAGCCATCTCAACTTTTTTCCAACCAATCTCATTGTTGGCAAATAATTCACGATGGAAGTCGTTCGTAAAAAATTTTGAATACAAGTCCCGGCCAAGAAGGCCGCCCATCTTAAGTTGGTTGTGATTGGGTTGTTGTTAGTGTACGCAAATACACACTGCTCAACATCAATATTACTAACATGGGGGTTGCTACATAGTACTAATAATTCTTCAGAAATAATAATGAAACGTAGCATTAGTCCACATAGTCATTGATTGTTGAACTGAGTTTTAGTTTGCCAAGAGTTTATGATTCTTAAGTCTGACCACAAGCAAATTGTTAATCGTGACCTAATAAGTTTTCATCTCGTTACACTGACCTGAACACAACATATATCTTACTAATAAGTTACTGTGCGGATTATTATTATTTGTGGACCAAAAATAGGCAATCACTTCATCATATATTTCTGCAAACGCACGAATATCTCTATTGCTTAAATATCCACTATCTCTCTCTCTTCAATCATCTAATGGGCAGAACACTTTAGGGATCAGTTCAACTGGCCACGAGCCACTCTTCGGTTACTCACGATCTCCAGTCATCCTGAATGGCAAATCGACCTAAGTCCCCCTAGTCTTAATGAAGTTGAAAAAGCGTTAGGAAATCTGAAACGAGGACGAGTTGCAGGTCCTGATAGACTGAACACTGAGCTATTTAAGGATGGTGGTCCAGTTTTAGCAGCTAGGTTGACTGAGATCTTAGGTAGAATCAGGGAACTGGACGTAATCCCATCCGACTGGTCTCAATCACTGATTGTCCCAATCTATAAGAAAGGACAAAAGTCTTCTTGTGACAATCACAGGGGAATCATTCTAACCAATATAGTATCTAAAATATTGGCCTCGATAATATTTCGGCGCTTAACGAAAGCTCGTGAAGAGCGAACTCGAGAAAACCGGTCTGGTTTTCGAACTGGACGTGGCTGTATAGACCACGTCTTCACACTACGACAGGTCCTGGAACATAGACACACATTTAGGCGTCCTACAATCGTTGCTAGGTAAGAATGGCCGATCAATAGACGCAGTAGTGACACTTCATCAGTTGAGGTGGTTAGGACATGTGTTGCGTATGCCCAACCACCGACTGCCTCGTCGAGCCTTGTTTTGTGGTGTAGGAATAGGTTGGAAGAAAGCTAGGGGCGGCCAGAACAAAACATGGCACAAATCCTTCAAGTCATTGACGAGTGGACTGAGCCATGTCGGTAATTGTCGACTACCTGGTTGGGGTCCGCGAGATGATAATAATCGATGGTAATGGCACCGGTGCATTTATTCTTTGTGTTCTCTCAAATCCTAATCTTCTGGATTCTTCAACACCTCTACTTTTGACTTTCTAAACTTTTCTCACTGAATCATATTTCTTGAATAATCTCTTCTAATCCTAACCTCTCAGATTACTTCTAATACCTTTACTACCTCTTCTACTATCGTATTTGAATTGACATTTGCGTCTCTGTGCTAATGTGTTATGTATGGCGACATGAACTGATGTACTTACGTACAAAGTTCTACGTTGCATCTGACTGACTCATACATAAAATCAATGGTATGCTTTAAAACTCATGAGTACTAGAGTTTAATTTCACACTTTTCTTTTTTTATGATATTTTCCTATGATTACTACTGTTTTTTTTCAATCAATTTCTCCTTCTAAATGTTGTATTATGTCCACAAACTGTTGTTTGTTTTTTTGCCATTTGTGTAGTTTGTACGAAGACTTAGTCAGTCAAATTCCATGGTATAATTTATAACTTGATGAATTCCTTTATTTTGAAACGGTTTACTACTTGTTTTAATGGAACAAGAGAAAAAGAAAAAAAGAATATGTCCAAAAAAAAAACAGGTTTTGATCGTCCTTGTACATGTTATGATTTTCCAACTAATGTGTAAACACTCTCCACTGTTTTATATATATACATATATATATCTACATACAAAATGTGCCTTTAAGTAATTTATCCCTATCTGGCATTCCAGATTGTTCATTTATGTTCATACTTGTATAATCTTAACTCTCGTGTGTGTGTGCAATAATTGAAATTTTTTCTCTTCATTTTAGTTTTATTTATTTATTTGAAAAAAGTTATTTGGTGTAAGAAAAAGGAGAAAAAATGTCTTAGGTCAATGTTGTTGATAAACTGGACTAGCAGCAGTATTCTTGATCGATGTATATATGACACCTGTAATTAGGTTAGACATTGTTAGAACACTTGATTAATTAATCATATACAGTCAGTCAGTCAGATGCAACGTAGAACTTTGTACGTAAGTACGTACATCAGTTCGTGTTGTCATATCACATTATTAGCACAGAGAGATGTAATTGTCAATTCAAATCCAATAGTAGTAGAAGAGGTAGCAAAAGGTATTAGAAGTAATCGAAGAGGTTAGGATTAGAAGATATTACTCAAGAAGTATGATTTAATGAGAAAAGTTTAGAAAGTCAAAAGTAGAGGTGTTAAAGAATCCAGAAGATTAGGATTTGAGAGAACACAAAGAATAAATGCACCGGCGCCATTGCAAACGATTTTGAGCCATGTCATTGTTCAAGGTCTCTAACCATCGATTATTATCATCTCGCGGACCCCATCCGGGTAGTCGACAATTACTAGGGGAAAAAAACCACTTTTTTCTTATACAATCAACAATGACCAAACACATTTTAGATTGAATTGATTCTCTCACTTCATAAGTATTGGGAATAAACATTTACACGAATGTACTTTTCAATTATTAAAAGTTCTCTACTCACAAATCACTATTGATTGTTTGTGTACTCGGTCATGTATACTCGTCTGAATTATCATTTAGTCATTTGGTGACGAATTTCAAGTAATATTAAAACAAATTTTTTGTATGTGTATGTATTCATAATTTACAAGTAGGCTGTGTTTCATGAGAATACTCGTTGCATATTCGAACGAATCACTTGTTATCGTAGGAACTATCTTAGTTATGATGTAATTATCCTGTAGGTTTTTAAACAATATTTATCAACTAATAGTTTTATTGTATGATTAATCGGTCATTTAATGTAGTAAGCTTTATCACTTGTCATAGAGTTACACACAATTATGGAATATGGTTACCATATTTTTTTTTACCAAAGCGTTGGATCAAGAACTATCAGCACGTATAAGTCAGTCAGTCAGTTACAATGTAGAACTTCCTATGTACGTACATACGTAAGTTCAAATTCCATGGAGAAGATTAGGATTCGAAGTTATTATTCAAGAAGTATAATTGAGTGAGATAAATAAATTCAGTAAAAGAAGGACAAATGATGATGAATTCAAAAGATTAGAACACGTTTAAGAATGAACTAGTGGACATTTACTCATCATCCTAATTGATAAAATCTCTAGGTGTACAAAATAAGATATTATTACATGCATAACTAAGCTTTGAGTTAAATATTGGTGAGTAACAAGAATAAGATGTTGTAAATTCCCCCTGTGACTTCTCTATAAGGAGTGACAATAGTACTAGGGGGTGTAGGAAGGATTTGATTTCAAACAATTTGGTCTCGTGTGTTGTTACGGGTATGAGGGCGGTTGTCACTTCCCGGCTGCCCACACCGTGGAAGGTTGTTTCTTGAGGGACCTGAAAAGGAAGATAGATTAGTGTTGGTCCTAGAGACCTGGGTGCGTGACCGCAGAGCCCAAGGGACAACTCCTTGAGGCCGGTCACGCACGCACTTCTTTTATGAAAGGTACTTTGAGGATTAGCTCCGCTCTTGAAAGCCCTTAGTGGGCGCCCTTACCAACGGAGACAGAAATCCGTGAGTTAGGGTGAGGTGTGACATTTTTAGGATCGAACTTTTCTAACCCTTCCTTCCTTGTGAGAAGACAGCATCGCTGCAGATGCTGTTTGTCCGAGGGGAACACGTTACTGCTGTCACACCCCTCTGCAGTCAGCAGTACGACTTCGCCCTCAGACCCTGGGTAGCTGCTTTTAGTCTGATCGTTCTCCAATCGACCAGCCTGGCATGGTAGAACCTTCAGGAACATATGTTCTAGCCAGTATAGCTCGGTTGGGTCACATCACGATAGGCAAGCCAGACGACCACGTCAAGGTAGCAGCTACGATCGGGTGAGTGACAATAGTACACCCGAGTGAGCAACGCTGTTTTTAGGAAACGGGTGCTAGGTAAGAATGGCAGATCAATAGATAAAGTTGTGAAACTTCACCAGTTGAGGTGGTTGGGACATGTGCTGCGTATGCCTAACCACCGACTGCCTCGACGAGCTATGTTTTGTGGTGTAGGTTGGAAGAAAGATTGGGGCGGCCAAACCAAAACATGGCGGAAATCCATGAAGTCATTGACAAGTGGATCAAGTCATGTCGGTAGTTGTCGACTACCTGGTTGGGGTCCGCGAGATGATAATAATCGATGGTTAGAGAGCGTGAATGACATGGCTCAAAATCGTTCGCATTGGCGCCAGTGCATTTATGCTTTGTGTTCTCTCAAATCCTAATCTTCTGGATTCTTCAACACCTCTAGTTTTGACTTTCTAAACTTTTCTCACTGAATCATACTTCTCGAATAATATCTTCTAATCCTAACCTCTTCGATTATTTCTAATACCTTTACTACCTCTACTAATATTGGATTCGAATTGGCAATTACATCTCTGTGCTAATAATGTGGTATGGCGACATGAACTGATTGATGTACTGACGTACAAAGTTCTACGTTGCATCTGACTGACTGAGTGACAATAGTATATATACAAATTTTCTTTTACTGTTTATTTAAATTGAGAGCGGTTATTCTTACAAAATTGTAGATCGGCGTTTGTAAATTAATCATTGTTTTTCTTTTTAAAGAAAAGTCGACCTTCAGTAATCGTACATACCAGACAATGTTAACAATGCCAATAATAAATATCGAAATTAGAATAATGTCATGAATACTGCGCGTTTCAGTATTTGATGTAATACTAAAATCGTATGTTTCTCTAAAGAACTGCATAATCATTATTAAGCGAGACAGCTAACAAATAAGTTTATTCATCAACACTTTGTATATAGACCTACTACTGCTACTACTACCTATAAAAATCTATTCACACATTATATTTTGGTTCGATGAAAAACACATCACAATTTTATTCTAGTATTAATCCGTCTATATATATATATATATATATATATATATATATATATATATATATATATATATTAATTTGGCAAGAATTTGAACAGTTTTGAAAAGGAAACAATGATGTTTAAACATTGTTAGTCGTAGTAGTAAGAATGAATACGAAAAGTTTATGCCAGATAACTTCACATAGTCAGTCAGTCAGTCAGTTGCAACGTATAACTTCGTACGTATGTACAACATAAGTTCATGTTGCCATACCACATTAGCACAGAGAAGCAAATGTCAAATCAAAACCCTGACGTGATGGTCGGGCTTGCTTATCGTGATGACCCAACTGAGCTATATTGGCTGGAACTCATGTTCCTGAAGGTTCTACCATGCCAGGCTGGTCGATTGGAGAACGATCAGACTAAAAGCAGCTACCCAGGGTCTGAGGGCGAAGTCGTACTGCTGACTGCAGAGGGGTGTGACAGCAGTAAGGTGTTTCCCTCGGACAACCAGCATCTGCAGCGATGCTTTCTCACAAGGAAGGAAAGGTTAGAAAAGGTCGACCCAAAAAATATCACACCTCACCTTACCTCATGGATTTCCGTCTCCGGCGGTAAGGGTGCCCACTAAGGGCTTTCAAGAGCCGAGCTAACACTCAAAAACCTTCACATAGCTCATAAGTAAATGATGACATATTATTGTTTAGAATCCATCACTTCAAATCTTTACCATATCATTTGGAGTAGTTACTGCTTAGTTCGCAATCTAATTTATATTTTGTGATGATTTTCGTGAAATGGTGAAGAAAATTGGTAGTTCATGTGTATGATTGTGATGGTGTTTTGTTCTTTGAGCTGGGTATTTTGGTTGTGGAGCTTTGATGATTGTTCTTCTACTGAACAACAACATCAGCTTAGAGAACGAAACACCACCACGATGAGTTTATGGCCATCTTTAATACAACTAAAGCTTGACGTAATCTAAGAGTACAGTTACTCAATCTTGTATTAACGTAGACAATTGATGATTCTCCAAATGATATACATCCATACGAGTTCAGCACACTGATTAACAATCCCTAGATTTTTCATGCATGAATGTTAATATGACCCATTTGAATTTTGAGTAGACATATAGACAGTTGTCGCGAAAATCCACTGGAAGTGTTTGATAGAACATGTTTTGTGGTGTGAGATACTTATAAGTAGTATATGACGTGAGTGTCAACGTAAGGTCCAGCAGCAGAAGATGGGGGAAGATCAAGAAAGGAAGAGTTAGAACACAATGGAATTTGTATGAAACGAATGAATAAGTGACAATGGATTGATGTTTTGCAACAGGAACAGTCCAGTTCGATATGATGAACTGTTATTTTGCAAATGAACGATTTACGATATGGTTTTCCAATTTTACACTGAGTAACTCTGTAATTTTCGTTAAATACAATTCGGTTGGCCCACCTGTGTTCTCGTTCACTACGGTTTTACATTATTGAAAAATAAAATCCATGGGAGTCTCGTCAGTGCCGATGGTCTGGTGACTGACGAAATCTCAGCTCGGATACAGAAAGCTCGATTGGCTTTGCGTCACTTATGGCGTAGGCGTGATATTTAAGATAAAATATTTCCGGCAATTCATCTTTACCTAAGATGTTTTGTAGTGTAGGAATAGGTTGGAAGAAAGTTAGGGGCGGCCAAACCAAAACATGGCAGAAATCCATGAAGTCACTGACAAGTGGACTGAGTCATGTTGGTAGATGTAGAATACCTGGTTGGGGTCCGCGAGATGAAAGTCATCAATGGTTAGAGACCTTGAACAACGACATGGCTCAAAATCGTTTGCAATGGCGCAAGTGCATCCACTCTTAGTGCTCTCTCAAATCCTAATCTTCTGGATTCGTCAACACCTCTACTTTTGTCATTCTAACCTTATTTCACTTGATTATACTTCTTGAAGAATATCTTCGAACCCTAGTGTTCTTCATTACCATTAATACCTCTACATTTTATAAATTAGTATATATTACACATTCTTATTCAACTAATCTACCGAAATGAATGTGTCTCATTACTTACTTACGCCTGTTACCCCCAATGCATCATAGGCCGCCTACCAGTTTTCTCCAACCAACTTTGTCCTGGGCTTCCGTCTCCAGTTCTGTCCAATGTTTATTCATTCCTCTCATATCTTTCTCTATTTCTCGGCGTAATGTATTCCTTGGCCTTCCTCTTTTCCTTTTGCCTTGAGGGTTTCATGTGAGGGCTTGTCTCGTGAGGCATTTAGGTGCTTTTCGTAGTGTGTGTGTGTCCTATCCACCAACTCCACCGCTTCTTCCTGATTACCTCATATTGAGATGATATTACTGCTTGTTTTCACGTACTGTATCTCACATACGCTATGATATATTTGTATAAAGTCAAAACAATGAATTAATGTAGAATAATGCATTCCTTTGTGTTTCGTGGTTTCTTTTCTCTTCCGCTGCTTACAACTACTGTATTTGTATTGAAAACAGATCCAGTTTAGAGTGTTCTTCATTTGCCTAGTACTTTAGTGAAGTAATACGGAAGCTAAATTATTTTGAAGAATTCGTTAATGTCTCAATAACATACCTGCCATCAATTAAGTACTGAGGTGTTGCACTACATAATATTATATTCATTGGGGCATGCCAAGGAACATAGCCATATACTTTAAAAATATACTTAGAGACGTACATTTAAGTTGATAAATGCAATTGAAAGCACTGCTGATGAACGAGGACTTGTCAATTATTTTTTTTTTCAAAAGAAGCAGTCTATTTATTATTTCACATAAACTAAACCAACTTAGTTTACTGAATACGCAATATTTATTGTCTCAGCGATACACTTCAATATGAATACGGATGTAAGCAAGTGAATAGAAAACAGTGAGATTGAATTCGTTCATGTTGCTTTAGTTTGGTTTGTTATCTTAGCTTTGTTATAATTCATACACGGAACCAATTCTTAAGAATTTTTTTTCCCTGTGTGTATTGCTGACTGTGAGTTGCGTCAAGTAGTCGAGGGAATATGTAGCTCAGGTGGATGATTATAGTGGTGTTTTCGTTCTATGAGCTCGTAACTTTCATGATCCAAGTTAGCGAAATGGTTGAAGGTTATGCAGAGCAGAAGAAATCACATATTTAATTGAATATTTAACAGTTGGTAAAAAAAAGACGCCTTCATCATTATAATGCTACATTCCTTCTCGGAACCCCGACCTACAACTTATCAAGAGTTATTTCATGGATATTAAAACATCTGGTGGATGAATCCAACTACTCCATTAAGTCGGCCACAGAATTCTTGGATAAAATCAAGAGGATTCAAATTGACAACGACGAAATGATGATATCATTCGACGTAACAGCCTTATTTACTTCAATAGAGCCAAACTTGGTTAAAGAAACTCTCTCTGCTCCTCATCAACGACACAAATATACAAAGCTTCAGAGTCAAAGTTTGCTTGAACTCATCGACCTATGCTTAACAACGTATCTTCAATTCAACAACAGAGTCTACGAACAAATAAAAGGAACACCAATGGGATCACCAATATCAGGATTCATCGCCGAAGCTGTAATGCAGAGACTGGAAGCGTCGATTCTGCCAGTGATCAAAAATGTGGGTTCGCTATGTAGACGACACATTCGTTATTATCAAAAGGAATGAGCTGGAGAACATCTACAATCAGATCAACAACGGCTTCGATGACATCAAATTCACGATGAAAAAGGAATCAAACAACAGCCTATCATTCCTGGATATACTAATCACCAGAACTAACACAGGAAAACTAGAAACTCAAGTATTTCGGAAGCCAACCTACACAGACGTAATTCTCAACTATGACACCAAGAACCCACAAGATCAACTGCATACAGACTTTGTTCAAGAGAGCGAAGACACTGCAGCACACACGAAGCATTAAAAAACGAGGAAAAACACCTGATGACTATCTTCAAAAAGAACGGCTATCCACGCAATTGTGCTGATGATTTTGTTCAGAAGAACAATGAAAGCTCCACAACCAAAACAACCAGCTCAGGGAACGAAACACCACCACAATACATCCCTATTTACTAGTTAGTTTAATGAAAAAGAATTTGAAGATTCATATTAGTTAGTTTTTATTTACACAGGTGTTACAATTCATCTGTTTGCTTCATATATATGGCCTGTACATGGAAGCAATTTCTAAAAGTTTCTTACCAAATGTTTGTTCATCTGTCATATTATTCGATCCAGGAGAAAATATACTACTTAATTCACGAAATGTCATAGCAATACGTCGTGTAGGTATATCTGAACTCCTGATTTCATGTTGCCAGATATATCGTGCAGGTCCACTAACCACTACAAGTGAACGTCTATTCAATGGTACACGTACGCAAAACTACAAAAAACAAAAAGAAAGCATACAAACTTCATTAATGAACATTGTAGTGTGAAGATAGTAGTTTGAAAGCACCAGTGCATACAAAAATATGACTGGTACAATATTTACTTACGGATGTTACTTTTGCCTGTTACCCCAAATGGAGCATAGGCCGCCTACCAGCAGCATTCTCCAACCAACTCTGTCTGTCCTGGGCTTCCCTTTCCAGTTCTGTCCATTCTTCTTCTTATGTCTTTCTCTATTTCTCAGCGTAATGTGTTCCTTGGCCTGCCTCTTCCTTTTGCCTTGAGGGTTCCATGTGAGGGCTTGTCTCGTGATGCAGTTAGGTGCTTTCCGCAATGTGTGTCCTATCCACTTCCACCGCTTCTTCCTGATTTCCTCTTCCACTAATATCTGGTTTGTTCTCTCCCACAGTTCGTTGTTGCTGATCGTGTCTGGCCAACGAATCCGAAGTATTTTGCGTAGACAACTGTTAATAAACACTTGCATCTTGTGGATGATGGCTTTGGTAGTTCTCCAAGTTTCCGCTCCATACAGTAGAACTGTCTTGACATTTGTATTGAAAATCCTGATTTTGATTTTGGTTGAAAGTTGTTTGGAGTTCCAGATATTTTTCAACTGTAGAAATGCAGCCTTTGTGCTTTGCCAATCCGCGCCCTCACATCTGCATCGGATCCACCTTTCTCGTCGATGATGCTGCCAAGATATGTATAGGTGCTAACGTCCTCCAAGGCATCTCCATCAAGAGTGAGTGATTTGGTTGGTGCATGTTGTGTTACATCGGAGAATGTTGCTTTTTCCTTTATGTATGTTGAGACCTACTGCTGCTACACTGGTCGTCTTCTCTTGCATTTGTTGTTGCGTGTGCGAGATAGAAGAGCCAGGTCATCTGCGAAGTCCAGATCGTCCTAACTGCGTCCTAACTGTCCAGTTGATACCGTTCTTCCCTTCGAGATGTCGATGTCTTCATAATCCAGTCGATCATCAGGAGAAAGAGAAAGGGACAATATTTACAGCATTGAATTTTTTTTGTACTATGTAGCAATAACCTGATAGTCATATTAATAAAGTACATGTTCACTGAATGGGGTAAACCATTTGAATCTCGTTTAATGTAAAATTAGAACAATAAATTTGCTTAATTAATCGTTATACTGTAGTTGGTCAACTCAATCAAAAAAAAAATTCTCTGTGAGATCGATATTTAATCATCACAAAGACAGTGTGCTCATTAGTAGACACAAAAGAAAACAGTCTAGATGCACAAGAAAGTATTTCACTGAAATGCGCCTTCTTTTCTTTTTTCCAAAAAATCGTTATGCAGAACAAAATTATGTAAACTATACTATGAGACATCTTAGTCAGTCAGTCAGTCAGTCAGATACAACGTAGTGCTTCATACGTAAATACATCAGTTCAGGTTGCCATACCACATTAGCACAGAGACGCAATTGTCAATTCAAATCCCATAGTGGAATAGATAGTAGGAGTACTATTGGTAATAGAGAAGATTAGGGTTCGAAGATATTATTCAAGAAGTATTAATCAGTGAGATAAGGTTAGAAAGACAAAAGTAGAGGCGTTGACGAATCCAGAAGATTAGGATTTGAGAGAACACAATGAGTGGATGCACTTGCGCCATTGCAAACGATTTCGAGCCATGTTATTCAACGTCTTTAACCATCGGTTACTATCGTCTCGTGGACCCCAACCAGGTAGCCTACATCTGCCAACATGACTCAGTCCACTTGTCAGTGATTTCATACCGTTTGTTTGACATTTTACTGTTTAGATAATTCTAAATATATACATAAACGAGGGCTTTGTGATATAAACTCGACATCACTGGAAAAATCATATAGTGGTTAACTAGTTTTTCGAAATACTAAACCAAAATCGTGCGTATAAAAAGGAAGAGACCATGATGACTTTTTTAAACAGATCGCATATTTTTCAATCCAATTAGTTAAAGTCTCTGACAACTGAACTGGGCCATGTTAGTAGTAGGTGTGTAGACTACCAGCTTGGAGTCCGTGAGATGATAGTAGCCTATGGTTAGAGACTTTGAATGACATGGCTCAAAATCGTTTGCGACGGTGCAGGTGTGTCCACCAGTCTTTGTGTTCTCCCAAATCCTAGTCTTCTGAATTCCTCCTCATGACCGTTTTTTTCTGTTCTTTGATTGATTCCTCTGGGATATACACCTCAAATGATATATTCGATCATGAATCGTTTTGATTACCACTAATACTGCTACTACCTCTGTGGTGCGAGCTACTTATAAGTAGTATATGACGTGAGTGTCAACGTAATGTCTGGCAGCAGAAGATAGGGAGGAAGATCAAGAAATGAAGAGTTAGAAAACAATGGAATTTCTATGAAACGCATGAATAGTGACAATGGATTGATGTTTGGCAACAGGAACAGTCCAGTTCGATATGATGAACTGTTATTTTGCAAATGAACGATTTACGATATGGTTTTCCAATTTTACTGAGTAACTCTGTAATTTTTTTCGTTAAATACAATTCGGTTGCCCCACCTTTGTTCTCGTTCACTACACTTCTACTACTATGGGATTTGAATTGACACTTTAGTCCCTGTGCTAATGTGGTATGGCAACCTGAACTGATGATGTACGTACGTACCAAGTTCTACATTAAAGTTGACTACACTATATACATATAACAGCAAAATATATATCTTAGTACGATTCTAACCATCATTATTGTACCACATAACACCACAGATTACTAATCAAATTTACTACTTAGTTCTGTAAAACTTATGTAACTAGTGTGCAGATACTAATACTGTGAAAAGTACAGTGAACTAACTTACTGAGCCCCGAGAAATATTTGGTACATAGGATTGAATACGTTTCAATTCATGGCTTATACCATCCACTATATCATTTGTCGGTAATGTGAAAGTTAAATAAGTATCACCACTTAAATTAACAGTCACCAATCGATTACCCCATAACCATGAATCATCATAGTGTGGTACAATACAAGCTCCACGATCTGATTTATATTCCAGATTACATAATTCTACTGGAAGAAATTCAGGATGATGAAGAGATGTGCTCTTCTCTTTGATCAAATCATTATAACGTGTTATAAGGAATTTAGAATATGCTGGTAGACCACTGAATTCTCCTATTTGCACTTTTTGTCGTTTAAAATTCACTTTTGGTCCATAATCCTAAGAAAAAATGAAACAAGTTTACATGACACAGACTGAACATCAACTCGTTTTATATAAACAGTAGTTGACTCAAAAAAAACAACAGTAGAACTCATTATACTACTAACTTGTTGTGAAGAATAGAACTTTCAAAAAAAATTCTTTTCAATAGTATGAACACCAAAATTACCAGTATATTTTGTTACTTAAAACGTAGAAGATATTCTACTAGGTTACTAGTATTTGATCATAGATGTTTAAGAAGCCTTGTTCGTATATTGTGGGACAACCGAGTAAGCAATGCTGTCGTTAGGAAACGAGTACTAGGTAAGGATGGCAGATCAATAGATGAAGTGGTGGAACTTCATCAGTTGAGGTGGTTGGGACATGTGTTACGTATGGCTAACCTCCGACTGCCCCGACGAGCTATGTTTTGTGGTGTAGGAGTAGGTTGGAAGAAAGCTAGGGGCGGCCAGACCAAAACATGGCACATATCCATGAAGTCACTGACAAGTGGACTGAGACATGTTGGTAGATGTAGGCTACCTGGTTGGGGTCCGCAAGACGATAGTCACCAATGTTTAGAGATCTTGAATGACATGTCTCAAAACCGTTTGCAATAGTGCAAGTGCACCCACTCTTTGTGTTCTCTCTAATTATAACCTTCTGAATTCCTCTTATTCTCTATCTTTCTCCTTCTAAATTTATCTCACTGAATTTTACTTTTTGAATCATATCTTCGCTCCCTAATCTTCTCCACTGCTGCTAATACTTCTATTATCGCTATCACTCTTGGATTTGAACTGACAGTTACGTCTCTATGCTGATGTGGTATGGCAACACTGAACTGATGTACTTACGTACGAAGTTCTACGTTGTATCTGTCTGTCTGTCTATCTGACTAATGATCTGAGTACGCATAAACTGACACCTTGATCAAATCCAATTACCAATAAGAAGTGGATGAGTCTGTTCCGATTTCTGTTGTTGATTCTAATGTTAATATGATAAAATTCTAGATAATACAGTCAGCATCCAATTCAGTCAGACAAATACACAATGTACTACACACAAAGAAATGACAATACTTCATTTAGTAGTGCATAGATTTAAATTTTCACAATTAATGAATACGCTATGTATTATTGATTTTCTTAGTGCATTTCTGTGGACTCCTAGATGTCTCTATTGTTTCAAAGATCTACTAACCTACTGTGATCCCTTTCAATGGTTTCTGATGTTACTGCAAGTGCTTCATAGTGCAAAACCATTACAGTCATTCAGTAGTTTGCTGTTGTTCCATAGTCTTTGTGTAATACTTGTTTTTGTTTCACGATATATCTCTTTATTTCATCATCCAAAAAGAAATTAAGTTTAGGTCAGTCAGTCAGTCAGATGCAACGTAGAACTTCGTACGTAAGTACATCAGTTCATGTTGCCATACCACATTATTAGCACAGAGACGCAATTGTCAATTCAAATCCAATAGTAGTAGAGGTAGTAAAGGTATTAGAAGTAATCGGAGAAGTTAGGATTATAAGATATTATTCAAAAGTATGATTCGGTGGGAAAAGTTTACAAAGTTGAAGAATCCAGAAGATTAGGATTTGAGAGAACACAAAGAATAAATGCACCTGCACCACTGCAAACGATTTTGAGCGATGTCATTCAAGGTCTCTAACCATCGATTATTATCTTCTCACGGACCCCAACCAGGTAGTCGACAATTACCGACATGACTCGGTCCACTTGTCAATGACTTCATGGATTTCCGCCATATTTTGGTTTGGCCGCCCCAATCTTTCTTCCAACCTACACCTACACCACAAAACATAGCTCGTCGAGGCAGTCGGTAGTCAGGCATACGCAACACATGTCCCAACCACCTCAACTGATGAAGTTTCACCACTTCATCTATTGGTCTGCCATTCTTACCTAGCACCCGTTTTCTAATAACAGCGTTGCTCACTAGAGTGTCCCAGGATATACGAGAAATGCTTCGAAGACACCTATGATCGAAAACCAGTAACCTACGAATATCTTCTACTCTCACTGGCCATGTTTCACAGCCATAAAGTAAGACGGAGCAAACTACTGCGCAGTACACTCGTCCTTTAGTCAGCAAACGGATATCTCGCCTACGCCATAAGTGACGCAGGTTGGCAAAAGCCAATCAAGCCTTCTGTATCCGAGCTGAGATTTCGTCAGTCACCAGGCTATCAGCACTGATGAGACTCCTGAGATAACTGGGGCAGTCTACACGCTCGACTACTTCACTCCCTATCACTAGTTCAGGTGCCGATAAAACCCAGTCTTGAAGCAACATTTTGCATTTCGAGGTGGAAAACCGCATCCCGAACATGCTCGCATTGTTGCTTAGAGTGGTCAGAAGACTGCATTTTGTCAGCGTCTTCACCAAGTAGGACTATGTCATCGGCATATTCTAAGTCAATAAGCGAGCCTCCTGGTAAAAGGTCTACTCCTGAAAATTCAGACGAGGATAAGGTTATTTCTAGGAGCATGTCTATGATAAAATTAAACAAGAATGGAGAGAGTGGACCAGTGGTGTTCGAGTAGAGAGCTTGTATAAGGTTAATGTACTTCTCTGGTACACCTTTCAATGACAGACACTGCCACAGAACCTCACGATCTGCAGAGTCAAATGCCGCTTTTAGGTCCAGGAAAACAACTATTGTAGGACGCCTAAATGTGTGTCTATGTTCCAGGACCTGTCGTAGTGTGAAGACGTGGTCTATACAGCCACGTCCAGTTCGAAAACCATCCTGGTTTTCTCTAGTCTGCTCTTCACGAGCTTTCGTTAAGCGTCGAAGTATTATCGAGGCCAATATTTTAGATACTATATTAGTTAGAATGATCCCCCTGTGATTGTCACAAGAAGACTTTTGTCCTTTCTTATAGATTGGGACAATCAGTGATTGAGACCAGTCGGATGGGATTACGTCCAGTTCCCAGATTCTACCTAAGATCTCAGTCAACCTAGCTGCTAAAACTGGACCACCATCCTTAAATATCTCAGAGCTCAGTCTATCAGGACCTGCAGCTCGTCCTCGCTTCAGATTTCCTAACGCTTTCTCAACTTCATAAAGACTAGGGGGACTTACATCGATTTGCCATTCAGGATGACTAGAGATCGTGGGTAACCGATGAGTGGCTCGAGGCCAGTTGAACTGATCCTTAAAGTGTTCTGCCCATCGGTCCAGTCTCCTGCAATTAAGTTTTAGGTGTTCAACTATTTTTTTTCGTTGTCGCTTAGTGTTAAAGGGTATTTATTTCCTGCTAGTTGTTGCTAACTTCCAAGAACAGAACTTCACAAAAGACTTTATAGATCAATTTTACCTTGATCTGAGAAAACTCAATCGCTCACTAACGAAACTACATTTCAGCTTTTATTTTCAAGAGTAGATAGAAACTTCATATAAGTAACACAGTTGTCGTTGTAGCATGTATGAATTATTAATGCAGAACAAAATTTGACTTCTTTATTGAAAGCTCTACTTCCAAAATATAATGGCATCCATAATCTAAAATACATTAGACATGAAAATTTATTAATAAATACAAAGATTCCTCTGAGATGCAGTCACATTTTAACTTGTAAATTTTGCCGGAAAAGGACATTACTAGTGCTGTTTACATAAAACGCTCAAGATTTGTGAAATATAATGGCTAAAATTTTGGTGATAGTATGGTAGATGTACAAGATAACCTATACATACCTGTTTTCTTCTTCCAGACTGAGATAAAACCCATGGTTGTTTATCAATGTCTTCAATTAACATTGCTTCTTCATCTTCATTGATAAAATTTTGAATAACTTCGATGTTTATGAAAGGAAAACCACTTTGATGAACATGAAACTCTTTGATTGTATTGTTCGTTTCAATGACTGCCATATTGCAAGATGGACAAAATGTGAACTCCAAAAGTTGTTGTGCTGCTTCCTGAGCATTATAATTAGAAAACCTCAACATACATCTTTGGAAAGGTTGTCATCATTACAAATTGCACAACTTCGGATGCCTTTACATCCACATTTTCTTTCAGGTGATAAAATCTAAATTATGAAGGAAAAGTTTGATATTTTTTTTATCTGAAACAATTAAGAAGCTTATCAAAAGAACAATAATTCAGATGAACACGTTATGGAAGGAAGATACAAAACCACAGAAGAATGGCATGTTCAAAATAGTACCTTGAAAATGAAGTTATTTTACAGCTACTATTAGAATCTGCATTTAAGTTCACAAGTGAAAACCATCAATGCAATAGGGAATTCGATTATTTAATGCTCATCATTTCCCTGCAACAATATACTCGACTCAGCCCTCGGCTAATAAGAAAAAAGTATCGCCTTACGAACGGATTTTTGAGTTACACCTAGGTAAAAAATAAACATGACAAACTGACACTAGAAACAAGTGACTAAAAACTACTTTTTTCTACATTAAGAATGCAACCCATACAGTATAAACGTTTCTCTTGACATGATATCGTTTCGCTACAGTAGATCATACAAAAGTCCACTGGATAACAGTTTAGTAATTATGGGGCAGTTAAAATTTTTGTTAATACATTAACCACCCATAATACATGCAGAAGCTTGGTGGTTAAATAACCCTATTTTCCACATACTATTCGCCTTCAGTATTTGCTCAGTAGGACTATCTTTCATAATTGAAGTCTCGTTCAAAACTAAGTACATAGGTTCATAATTACACTTGATCGTAGCGGAAATGAGGGTCTAAAGTTTTGATTAAGAACTCTCAGAACCTATGTCTTTCACAGACTGGGTCGAAGTTAAATTTTATTTATTGGTGCCAACTCACGGAGGCACCACATGCTTAAACGATTTATGCCATCAAAAAAGTGGACCGTGTAGATAACTGGATTCTAGTAGAATTATTAAACAAATTACAAGTCATTACACTTGATTTTGACCTGAACGCCTTGATATGGCTCACAACGTGAGGCCACCAAGTTAGAACCTACTCATCAGTCTGTTTAGCTAAATATTTAGAACTGATTACTACGTCTGATCTGGTGAAATTGTAGACTGATGTCAGCTTGAAATAAGAATCTACATATACTATGCTTGTCTTTGCAATCCATGATGGTCTCCATCTGATTTCATATAACAGGCTTCAACACCAGTTGCAGATAACACAAAATCTGCCATTAGATTTCTAATGGAAATGGTATGAAGAGAAACGGACCCACAACCAATTACATTTTATTTCGCGAATAGCATAGATTATCACAAACGAATCATACCAAACTAAATATATGCAAAATAATGCATCAACCTAACATTATGAACCGTTAAACAGTTAACATGCACACTTTTTTAGTTCAACTACTGCATTTCCAGATGTAGTTACTTTTCGGATCGTGTGATTTTAATGTGATTATATACATGTACATATATATATATATATATATATATATATATATATATATATATATATATGTCTTCATATGAAAAAGTCACGACTCTTCATGGGGTCTGCGCCCCTTCTAGATACAAAGTTAAGCTTAATATAGGTAAATGGAATATCTGGATCATGTTGGATACTAAAAATGTCATTCAGACTTTTTCAAAAATGACAAGATACAACTTATGCCAACTAAGAATGAGTGAAACCCACTGAACATATACCGGGATGAAAGCTTTGTTTCAACAGAACTGTTATGGTATCCTGACCCTGGAGGAAATATATACATATATATGCATATATATATATATATATATATATATATATATATATACATATTTCGAGAGTTCCCATTGACTAAAAGTTTACGGTACATAGTGCAACCAGGTTGAAAACCAGCACTAGGAATCAGCGCCAAGAGTTATCATCTATTTATTCATCACGAATGCAAACAGTTGTAACGCAGATATTTATAAAATTTACATTCCAATATCCAATTTCCTTTTCACGAGCTAGTATAAACCAATTGTTTTCTTTGCGCTCGATTCTTGTTCTTCTGGTACGGTTCCAGGTGTTCGGTAATGTCCAATGGATGGAATTCTTGCCACTTAACCATCTAAGTCTAGTTAGTTGGCAGTTGGTTGTAAGTTTGTATGTCTCGTGATTTGGATGCAAACGTTTGTTTCAGGGCAGTAGGGTTTCTGGATACCAGCAGCTATCACATTACCAGACCGGGGATCAGTTATTTTCAATGCGGAGAATATTAAGGATGATAAGGATAAAATTCTAATGCTAATATGAATAAAATTTCAGAACTAAATAATATATAGACAATCCAGTTTATTAATAGTTATCGAATATTGTGAGGGAGGAACGAAGTGTAAGCAAGGGAGCGATAACAGAGATAATAGGCGAGATAGTATAACTGAGTGATTTGAGGAGATGTCAATGATGCAGGTCTCGAGATATGCATCATGAACAGCTTGTCCAAGAGAGAGATGATAATCCGTATGTGAGTACGTGATTATGAAGTCTCTTCTTGAAGTTGTCTACTGAGCGGGCTGTGGTCACCTCGGCTGGGAGAGCATTCCAAGTTTCGACGACAGTCAATGAGAAAAAGTGTGCACGAATCTGAGTATTTGCTCTTTGATGTGCAATCTTCCGAGGAATGCCTCGAGGGGAGTGGTGGTTATTCATCGGTAAGATGCTCATATTGGGATGGTTTGGCGTGTTTAATATGGTGTACGCCATATCACCCATTTGATTGCTCATCTCTGCACTCGATCAAAGAGATTTATGTCTCTTTTAAGCAGAGAGGGTGCAATGATATTGTGAACCTCCAGGTGTGGGCACGCGTACGTCTTAAATAAGTTCAAAAATAATTGCGAGGTGGTAGAACCAAGTTGTCTTCGCATAAAGTGAAGAGTTGCATTTGCCTTGGCTGCATCCAATACATAGTTTGGACTCGTGTGGAGGCTTTCTGTGGTTATTAAACCGAAATCGCGCTCTGAGGAGACATTAGAGAGCGTACTTTCATTGAGGGTGAAAATCGTTTACGTCATGTGCGGCAGAATATACATGATGTGACACTTCGATTGGCTTAGTTTTAAACCTTTTCTCACTGCCCATTCCTAAATAGATGTAAGGTCGTTTCGAAGCTCAGTCGAATCCTCTTCGCTTCTAATGGACCTCCAGATCTTCGCATCGTCTGCGTAGATCAATGCAGGTGAACTAACTGAGCCTAAAAAATAGTTAATAAGTATCAGGAAGAAGAGTGGACCTAAGATGGTTCCCTGTGAAACTCCCGATGTGGATACTCGCCAGCTCGCGTGCACTCTATTTACCTTGGTACGAAACTTTCTATTCTGAAGGAGGTTTATGAGCCAAGATACAAGTTGGGCAGTAAAGCCCATCTCGGCAATATGCACTAACTTTTTCCCTTGCTGTTATAAACCAGTTGATTTCTGTACGCTCGATTCTTGTTCTTTCGATACTGTTTCAGGTGTTTGGTAGTGGTCACTGCGCTGAACCAATTCTAATCAGTTGTCAGTTGTTTGTGAGTTTGTATGTCCCGTGATTTGAAAGAATACTTTTGTTTTATGGCAGTAGGTTTTCTGGATACCAGCAACTATCACGATGCCAGGCCGTAGAGCAAGTACTTGCAATGTGGAGAATAATGAGGAAAAAATTCTAATACTAATAAGAAGGGGGTTTCAGAACTAAGTAAATAAATGTTTAACTTGGTTTATTTACTGGTAGTAAAGATTGTGCGAGAAGACTGAAGTGTAAGCAAGGAAGAGGAAACAGAAATAATTGACGAGATATATTTAGCCAGTGATCTGAGTAAACGGCAGTAATAACAACTAGCAAGTCTCAGAAAATACATCAGGCAGATTGTCCGTAAGGAGATCATAATGTGCATGTGAGTACGTATTTACCAAATCTCTTCTTAAAGCTATTAACTGACAGAGCTGTGTTCACCTTGACTGTGATAGCATCCCTGGTCGTAGTAACCGTAAATGGAGAAAAGTGATCATGAACCTGAATGTTATCTCTTTGATGCGCAATTTTTCAAGGATTACATTGGTAGATGGGGTATTGCTGGTGTTTTGATGAGACTCTCACGTTGGGATGATTGTGTACACCTAATATGTACTCCATAATCTGATCACCTCTGATTTTCCTGTGACTCAGAGAGAATAATCCCAAGTGTTGCAATCTGCCTTTCATACGACTTTTTCTTCAACCCTATCACCCATCTCGTCGCTCTTCTCTGCACTCTGTCTAAGAGATTTATGTCCCTTTTAGGGAGAAGGGATACGAATACGTTGTGAAACTTCATGTGTGGGCGTGCATGTGTCTTAAACCACTTTATGAATAATTGTGGGTTGGTAGCTCCAACTTATCTTCCCATAAATTGAAGAGATTCATTAGCTGCGACTGACTCCTCTACGCACTTCTATATGTATGGAGGCTTTCAGTGGTTGTTAGACCGAGATCTCGCTCTAAAGAGACATTAGATAGCGGACTTCCATCTACGGTGTAAGTCGTTGAAGTCATGCGGGACAGAATGTACATAACGTGACATTTTGGCTGGTTTAGTTTGAAAATGTTTTTCACTTCCCATTCCTCAATAGATAATTCGTTTTCTTCGGCCTATACTCCTGTTGAATCCTCTCCTCTCCTGATGGACCACTGGATCTTTTCGCCATATGCGTAGATCAGTGCCACACAGCTAGTTTTATATAACAAGTCATTATCAAATTTCAAGATGAGTGAACGAAGAATGGTCTAGTGTGAAACTCCTGATCTTGAGACTCGCCGGCGCGAATAAACTCTATTTACGTTAGTCCGAAACATTCTCAATTTAGATTTAGAGTCAAGGGTGGTGTATGTGACAAGCATCCATGACGGTGGATGATAACCTCAATCTGGCTATTTCTGTCGTGCAGAACATTTCTTTACCCTTACAATACAGCAGGAAGTAACTAGCTAATGATATGGATGTTACTTTCCTTTGTTAAACATGTCTACGGCTCAGGTTTGTAAACTTGCACTGGTTTAACTGCCTACCAAGAAAGCATATTATAAGCAGATCTAAATAAGTGCGGTGAAAAAGAACTCACTCGTGACTTCTTAAGCTACAGCGATAAAAAAGAATAAATAGAATATCAAATGAGCATCAGATCACTGTGCTTAATTATTATATTCAGTAAATTAACATTATTTCTAACATTGTAGTTCTTTTGAATTTCTTCTGTTCATACGATTAATTATCCATTGGTTATCTTAGTAGTGACTTGTCTTCATTTAGTGTTTGAATACAAAAAAGAAAGATCTCATTGATCGTTTCTTCGTTTTATCCAAAACTAATATTCTCGGAGTCACGAGCCAGCTTTAAACAGGAATACTTTCTGTTTCACTTCTCGCCCCTTTCTCCTTATCGCCTTTTAAGAACCCTATTCTACTCCTTAAATATTAGACTGGATGACTGAAGAAGACTTTGTTACTTTACATAGGAGCTTGTAAGTTTATCATCTGTCAAAAATCAGCAAGAAGTTCTTTGCACATTTATCTCATCAACTCTTGTTTTATGAAGATCTGAGTCTACCTTACATTGGTTCTCAGCCATTAGTGGTTTGAAATAACGTACCCGATGTAACTTGCACCAGATATCATATTGTACATTGAAGAGTTTGAAAGATTATCTATAATTTTATTTGAAAAATGCTAGCCATCTGTATGACGCCAATGTATCTTATGATATACTTAATTAACTAAACAACCTTTTGCAGAAAATATTTTGGCAATTTTAAAATTTCGGTCTTTCCTGTAAATTGGCATGCCTCTGGTAAAGTGGATCAACGAAGCCCATCTCCTCAGCCTTCGCAATTAAGAGCACGTGGAGAACTGAGTAGCAAATAATAATAACGTTATCTCAGATAACAAAATGCAATGTCAAAGAATATTCTCTGTACTGGCATTTTTCGGTCCCTGCAGGTTGTCCAGTTGTCTCATGCTATGAGATGATTGGATGCACATGACCTGCCTTTCCGAAGCCCATGCTGAGCTTCATTAATGGTGTTGTTTTTATCCACGTTCCCTTTCACTGGCTTATGGAACACTCCTTCCATTGCCTTCGATTGCACTGGCATTAATGCGACCGGTCTGTAACAAGCTGGATCCTTCCTATCTCCTCCTTTCAAGAGTGGAATGAGAATAGCTTGTTTTCATTCATCTGGGAGTTGGCGTGACTTGAGTGGATGCCTGAGCAGGTCACAATTCGGTGAACTGTGGAGCTAGCTACAGCCATTAAAGTCGTGAATCCGAATATCAATCTGAGTTTGCTTACGGCTCCTTACGATATAGCAGGATGTAGCAAATCAGTGATATTGATGTTACTTTTCCTAGTTAACCTCGTCTACAACCCAGGTCTGTAACCTTGCACTGGTTTTTACTTCCTACCGAGAAATCCTATTACAAGCTGGTCTGGACAACTATGCTAAAAAAGAGCTCATTCATAACTTCTTGAGCCTCAGAGTTAAAAATAAAAAGAATAAATAAAACCAAAAAATTATATCACTGACCCTCTTTATTATATTATGTAAATCAACTTTATTACTAACAACTTGGTTCTTCTGAATTTCCTCGATTCTTTCGACTAACTTGTCATTAGTTATCTCACTACTGAATTGTCTTCATTGACCTACATAAGCGCAGGTGTAAAGTGTTCTGATATTAAAAATGTTTGGGTAAACATACCTTTGTTTTATCCATAAACGTATGTGCAAAGCCATTGTTCGGCTTTGAACATGAATATTTTCTGTTCTGCTCCTCGTCCCGTTTTGTTTATTCCTCTTTTTTCAGAACCTTATTCCAATCCACATATATTAGTCTGGATATTTGCAGTAGACTTGGTTACCCTAGCCAAGAACATGTGAAATCATTAGCTGACGAATATCAACCAGACCTTTGTACATTTACCGCATCAATTCTTATTATATGAAAACCCATCTGTACCATGAATCGTTTCTCATTCCATAAGATGATTGTCGTAACGCAACCTTTGTAACTTGCGCCAATTACTCGCTTTGTACATTCCATCTTTAAGAAAACAATGAATCTTGTGAAATGTTTCAGTAACTATATACCGTTTTAAAAAAAATATGTTGCTAATCTTAACATTTTGATCTTGCCTGTAAATTGGCATGTCTCTTGTAACATGTTTGTTATTTGAGAATAAATTATTATTATTATTATTATTATTATTATTATATCACATTAGCATAGAGTTCAAATGGTCAATCGGAACCTCACAGTGGTAGATGTAATAGAAGCATTGGTGATAATGGAGAATAATGAGGTTTGAAGCTATTATTGAAGAAGTAGAATTCAGTGAAACAAACTTAAAATGATAAAGATAAAGGTAATGAAAAATTAAGATGTTAGGGATTTGAGAACACAAAGAGTGATTATACCTGATCCAATACAAAATATTTTGAGTCTAATTCTGCTAACATATGTAAATCCACCTCTCATTGACTTCGTGGATTTGTGACATCTTTTCTTCGGCCCTTGTTTTCTCCAAGTCTTTGCCTACACCGCAAAATATAGCTCGTCTATGCAGTCGTTGGTTGAGAATACGCAACATATCCTAACCACCCCAACTGATGACGTTTCACCGCTTCGTCTATTAATCTGCAATCCTTAGCTAGTACCGGTCTCCGAAGAACAGAATTGCTCACGCGATTGTCACAGGATATTTTGTCATTAGATTTCTCTCAGTATTACATTTCAGTTACTGCAATACTGGCTTTACACTTATGTATTAATCAGAAGTAAATTTTTTCCGTATGAGAAGTGAGAACCTCAGCCCAGTGTTAATAACAGTCCTTATATCATTCTGCGTGAGCTGCGTATTTTATGGTAACTCTGTGTCTTTTCACCTACATGATACTCTTTGATCTGTCTTCAAGATTGTGAATAAATGTGCATTCAGCATAATGATCATGTAATTTCAGGGTTGTTTAGTGAAGTCAACAAATCTTCATCTGGAGCAGAAGGATATTTTGACACGCAGAATTGCCGCGGATAATTTTCACACATCTACAGCCATTTATGGTTAAAAGCTTTATCTTCAAACTTTAAAGTGTTGGTTATTCTCCAGTACTGAAACTCCATTTAATGGAAGTGTGTGTTTGTTGCTGAAGCTTTGTGCTTACGAACTTCTAAATCTCAATTCATTTATATGCCTAATTACCTAAACATGATGAGAAGATCATTGCAGATTCAATCTTTAAGTTGTAAGATCTTATCGCCTGATCACAGAAAAATCGACATGTAGGGAAAAGAAAGGGACACAATAGAAAGCCGGGATAGAGCTGGACGATCTAGAATTGACTGAGGCCATGGCTCATCTATCAGATTACTCAGATTTGTGTTCAAAAGTAAACTTTTGTTCCTAGGAGATTACAAGTACTAATGATTCCAATTCAAACACTATTCTATTGCGTTTTTGGTGATTTGATTTTAGTATTGACCCATATTAGAGAGAACAAACCACGTTACGGCTGAGGAAGAAAGAAGGAAGAAGTTTTGGAGGCGGACAAGACGCAATAACGAAGGCACTCAACTGAATTGAGATTAGACCTGACGTAGAATTCCGAAGGCCAAAGGAATAGAGGTAGATCAAGGAAAACACATTACTCTGAGAATCGGAAACAGGTATGAAAAAGAAGAACAGTGATTGGACAGAACTGGAAAGGCAATCTCTGGACAGAGTGGGTTGGAGAATGATGGTCAGTGGCCTATGTTTCATGAGAAGTAGCAGGCGTAAGTAAGTAATTTACTCACATAGCATCACACTGTTCGTCAACAATTGATAACAACAGAAACTTTTCGGGAATTACAGAGTTTTTTTCATGAACTGGAATTGAATAAAAGTTATATCAGTAGTAAATCTCACAACAGTGGTGTTTGCTGGCATGCAGCTAGTTAGATGACTCAAATAAATATATAATATATAATATATATATATATATATATATATATATATATATATATATATATATATAAAGTTATAATTACTCTTGCAATCCGCTTTTAACTCGAAGAGTGTAAGTACATACGCGTCCCACCCACTCCAAGTCCAAAAGCAATAATTCTGGGAGAGAACGGTTCTGTATTTAATGAAAAGTGGAAATTCAGACATTTACCAAGACAACAATACACTTTCGAGTTTCCGATTACCACAATAGGTTCCGTTGCTGGAAGAATAAGTGCTTCCAGTCCGTCCAAATGTGGCTGTAGCCATATTAAATATCAATTTTAAACAACATATGTATAATTCAGAAGGAAACATAAAAACTTCGATATGAGCACAAGATATAGAAATAATAACAATATATAAATGATAAAATCTCAAAATGGAATCAAACAGAGTACCAAAATATCAAAAGAAAGAGTCAGTCATATCATAACACAAATATATATATACATGGAGGGATTTTCCAAAAACAAAAACTTCAAAATAGATTCTACACCAGCCCATAGCAATATGTACTACAGGGACCACTCGATTTAAATACCTTAACTGAGTTCCTAAGTTACCAGTCAGGATAACACTGTCGCCCGAATTACTACTCTCATAGAGAACGGTAAACAGAAAAAGGCGAAAAGGATGTCGTAAATTTCCTGTGATGGATCCTGAAGTTGAGAAATGATGAAAAACGACAACTGCATCGTATACTCGTGGCTTGTGAAATCTAACCATTCAGTAGTTTCATATAACGTCTGTAGTGGCTATGTTCACTGTCTCTACTGTACTCACTGTAGAATTAATACATCAAGAGATTGACGAAGGAGAAGATCAAGACCCTATAGGATACAGACATATCTAATCACAACATCTTACATAATTCACACACTCTATGAAATATATACAAGACCACAACTTCAGATTCATGATGTCATAGCGTTGCTTCACCTTAAAAGAGACATAAATCTCCTGGAGAGAGTGCACAGACGAGAAATTATATAGATGGTAAGGTTTAAGGACAAACCCTATGAAGACGGACTACAACACCTGGAATTATCCCCTCCGAGTTACTGCAGAATGATAGGTGATGTGATAATAGCATAAAACGTACCAAGTATACCGATTCATCTTAGCATTAGCGTCTTCCCAGAACATCACCAGCACACTCCTCGACGCAACCCTCGAAAACTTTCACATCAAAGAGTAAACACCTGGGTACATTTACACTTTTCCTGATTAAGAGAATGCACTCTCAGCAGAAGTGACCACAGCATCATCAGTTTCTAGCTTCAAGAAGAGACTTAACAAAATGTAAACACATATGGATTATCATCTCCCTATTGGTGATTGAAGCATATTAGTCATTATTATTGTCAATTCCTGAGATCATTACCTTATCCTATCTCGTTTATCATCGCTGTTTCTTCTCCTTTGCTTACACTTCTGTCCTGACTTTCAATTAATTAGCTTATTCTGAAAATTTTCTCTTGTTATAAGCATGAGAATTTTCTCCCTGTCCTCATATACGCTGCAGCTGACTGATTTACAACCTGGTAATTCGATAGCTGCTGGTATCCAGAAACTCTAGCGCATTGAGACAATCTCACTCATGCAAATCACCGGACAGACAAATTCATAAAGAACTGTTTACTGACTAAAATTAGTTGAGTCCAATAGCTGGAATACTCTACATTCAGCACTACGAAATACCTGAAACCGCGCCACAAGAACAAGAAGATAAAATGAAGAAATCAATTAGTTTTATATCAACTCGTCAAAATGATATTGGACATTGGACTGTGTTGCGTTCTATCAATTAGATGCATCGAATTTGGAAACTAGTAATGAGGCTTATTTGACATCTTAGTCTGAACTAGCCACGAGTCAAAGTATCTATCTCTAAAGCTGTGGTCTGGTTTCGCTAATTGTCAAAAACAGTTTGAGCTTCAATTTTATCGAATAGTAATACCATGAGTGATTCTGAATCCAAAGATGAAAACTTGCAAGTAAGCTGAATATTCTGAATGAACGAAGATACTCCTAGTATACATATCATACTAATTCGGAAACATTTTCACATGACATTTCACGAAACAGTGTTCCTCGTTATAATCTCTCAGAGGATTCTCAAGTAGCAGATGGCATACTGGGCAAAGAACCAGTCAACAAATATATCCAATATAGTAGACCTGAAACAAACATTCCTAACATATGTGTTGTGAGTTGCTGACTAATTACTAAACAGTTTACTTTTTAGGAATCTTCATCACAGAATTTAAAGCATCATCTGAAGAAATTGCACTTGGCTGCCAATAAGGTACTTCTCAATTTATGAAAAGTTTGATTATTTTAATTAGATTATAGATAACGACCGCTTGACTAAATACAATAATCCATCAAAAAAGGTATGACTTAGTATTCAGTGTAATTCATTTTCTACAGAATCTCAAAGGAAATCAAGAAGCCTATGAGAAAATGTTGGATGCCGTTAAAGAGCTCAAGTCCTTTGTCGTTCAGCATCGACCTACATTATCATCAAGTAGCAATCGCTCTATGATCACTAAAAAAGTACAGTCCCGTATTCCTACCAGAGTACGGTCAAACAGTACTACCTATGACGATTCAATTAGTCAGAGACTGAATTTAACAGGCAAGACAGGACATCGTTCAGACAAATCAGTCAGACGTTCTATATCACTGACTAAAAGGTCAAAATCTCCTATCCATCATTCAATTTCTCCTAATTCTGTGTTTAATACTGAATGCTCTCGCCTTTCCGAAAATTTAAACATTAGTGAGGGTGTAAATATGTTTTCTCAGAGCGAGACGAAATATCAATTTTCAGTCAAAAGCGATACTTTTGTCACTTCAAATCAAGAAACGGAATATGTCCAGAATTCAGAAGCTTTTACAAACCCAGAAGTGAGTTAACTTGATTGATTAAAAGTTCTTTAAATAATGATCTTTTGTACGGGGAGTCCGAAACCTTTTCAAAGTAAACGATTTATATCAGTACTACTGATTAATTTATAGGTGCTTTGTTTGTGTCAGTCAGTCAGACAGTCAGTTACAACATATAACTTCGTACGTATGTACATCAGTTCAGGTTGCCATACCATAGAGATGCAATTTTCAGTTCAAATCCCATTTCGGTAGAGGTAGTAGCAGTATGAGCAGTAATCGGAAGGATCATGGTCTGAATATGTTATTCAAGAAGCATAATCTAGTAAAGTAGATTTCAGACGAGAAGGATGAAGGTCATGAAGAGTTAAGGTTAAGATGAGTGCACCTGCTTCATTGTAAAGGATTTTAAGCCACGCCATTTAATTCTTTAACCATCGGTTACTAATAATCGGAATCGAATTTCCCCTGTGGTTTTTAATGACCCTCTTACCTCCATGACCAAACATTCTCGCTTTGCTTTTGCAGTTTTTACGAAAAACTTTGACATTTATGTAGTCGACCATTGACTCAGCTTATAAACTTGCATCGGGTATCATTCATTTACTACATGTTTGTTTATGGACTGCTTTACAATACACAGTATTATCTGTTTATACTACTGATATGCTCAAACTGAAGTAGATAGTGAGGAGTTGGATTATGCAATCCTATAATTGAAAGTTGGATTTCTTTACCTCGTTGTTGATTTCTTTTATTTTAAGCCATATACACTTACGTTACAAGTGCCATCTCTCAGACTTCAGTTAAGTTATAACAGACCGATAGATATCAGTGTTTCACTGAAACGTTTCTTTTAATTAACTCAAAATAGCTAGAGTAACTATTAAAACAGACGAATGAATGAATCTGTTTTCTCATGTATTGTCATCGGAGTGGAAATAACCCAACTTAATGTTAGTAATCGAAGTAATCAAAAGTAGTAATTTACTATGGCAGTGATAAATGGATACCTGCTTCTCTCTGATTGCAGATGTTTGGTTTTTTTTATCGGTGATTTCATCATCTTCAAACTCAAGGTGTCAGGAACAAACTTTCTTGTGCACTTGTTGTGATTGAACTAAACTCCAGTCCCAATATTTTCGTGGTAGGCTTATCATTTTAGTTTTTCCTCCAGAATAAACTGAATTCTAAGATCATTGAAGTAAAAATTGCCACCGCGCTCATGTTCCATTAGTAAGCTCGATGATATAACGCACTTTACTGAGGAAATGAAGTAGATATATGGAATAGCTCAAAGTATTCGATAGGACTGTCCTGGAAATTTAGATAGAAATATTCAGTTAATGCATTTGTATCACTGTACCCAATTCTCAGATGTACCGCATATCTCTCATGCGTTCCTTGTGTATGACATAATTTCAGAGTGAGTGCTTCTTTTGCTGATTGTCTGATAAAAGTGGAAAGTAGACTGAATATATTATACACATTCATCGACTGTGATGTTTGTAACTTGTGTTACGTATGCCTAGCCGTCAGCTGATATATTATTCAATGGTGTCTAGCATGGGGATTACTTGGAACGTGGATAAGAGCGGTAAGGCCATGGCATGGAATCAGCTCCTGGAATCATTGTTTGTTATAGTGTACTGTATCGACAGTTTTGAATCTCTTGTTTGAGAGTCTTCATCTTAGCCAGAATCGGTGAATGGTGACGTTGGGTGATCCTTCTTATCGATTAATGTTCCTCGAAATCTTCGACTTGATGCCATCTTAAGACGTTTGTTTTTCCACCTCATGTTTGTTTCTTGTTGAACACTGCTTTTCCAGTGATTATATCTTCACTCTATCTTGTTATAATATTTCCCTACGATTTTACTGCGATCCTTTTTGGTGTACTAATGTGGCAGGTTGAGTTGGAGTATACATTCTCACCTTAGTTGTCACATTGACTATTACAGCTAATAAATGATTGATTTGTGTAATTTTTCTCCTTATTCATATCTTCATTGTATAATATTTAAATTCTTTTATTTAGATTGCTTGTTTAGAAGCTGAATTATCACATCGTGACACATTGATCAAGTATTTATCAGAAGAATTATTGAAAATACATCAAGATAATGATAGAATATTTGCTGAATATGAATCACAAGAAGCAAATTTAACTAATCATTTACGTTTACTGAGATCACGTCTAACTGAAACAAATTATCATTTGGGTCAACAAAATACCATCAACAATCATCATCATCATCATCATCATCATACCGATCGCATAACACATATCACTTCTCAATCACTGTCTCAACAAATCAACTTCAATGTTACAGATTCTATTGTACATCATTTTGCTACAGAAATCAATGATAAAATAATTCAACCCACTATAAATAGTAGTAACAATTATATGAATCAGTATCAAACTATAGAGCAACCATTATTAGTTGAATTAAACGAACTTGATTCAGCTACAAGAAATCTGTTAAATTATTGGGAAATTAAAAGTCAAGAAATAAACTATTCATCTGTATGTCAACAATTTTTCAAAGCATTACTTAAATTTTTTGTGATTTCAATGAAACCTTATAATTACACTGAAGAATCGAATGAGTTTTTAAATCCGCATTTGAATGATTTACAAGTGAAAGCTGAGAAAGCTGAACAACAAATTATTGATTTGTCAAATGAAATAAAAAATTATCAAATTCAACTTGATAGATTCAATGAAAAACTGAAACAGCATCATTTCGACGCTGATAATAATATTGGTAGTAATAGTAATGATGATAATAAGAAGCGAATAAGTGATCAAGTGAGTTTATGTTTCCGATTTTGTTCTATCATTGTTACATTTTTATACATAAGAATGTTGTACAATTAAAGACCTCAATCTTAATCAAAAGAACCTTATTACAATGTTTTCGGATATGGTGTTAACATTTTGTGTTATACTTTTACCAACACAGTCAGTTGGCTATAACGTAGCGCATGTATTGTACGTATATCAGTTCAAGTTGTCATACTGCATAAGCCCAGACAGATGGAGGTTGTAGCAATATTATCGGTAATGGAAAATAGTAGGCGCTGAAGATATTAATGCAGAAGTATGATTGAAGGAAGTAATTGTAAACTGAGATGAGAGGTCATGAGGAATTCAGCAGATTAGAATTAGAGCGAAAATAAATAACCCATGCATGAGCGCCATTGTGAACCATGTTGATCCATGTCATTATAGGTCTCTAACCATCGGTTACTATTGTCTTGCGGATCACAACCGAGTAGTATTTACTTACTAACTTGTCTCAGTCCAGCTGTCAATGTCTGCATTGATTTGTGCTATGTTTTGGTTTGGTCGAATCAAGCCTCGTCGTCGAGGTAGTTGGTGGTTGGACAATTGTAAAACATTTTCTAACCACCTCAACTGATGAAGCTTCAATACTTCATCTACTGATGTGCCATCTGATAACCCAGTACCCGTCTCCTGACCAATAGCATTACTTACTCGGTTGTCCCGGCATACACGATCAATGCTTCGAAGACACACCTTTGATCGAATACTAGCAGTTTATGAATATCCTCTACTTTTATTGGCCAGTATTCACACCAGTACATTAGAACTGAGTGAACTGCTACGCAATAGACTCGTCCTTTGGTTAGCAGACAGATAGATATCTTGCCTTCATTACATTTCATTATCTGAAACATATTTTACAAATCTAAGATGTTAGTTAACTTTCGCGTAGTTCCTATTTCTGGCTATAATAAAATTTTTCTCCAATTTGCCCGCATACTTTAAGATAAATAACATAGAATTAATAATATGGAATAATAGTTTATCGATCATATCGAATTCAGCACTGTGTAGCTACTGCCACCTGATGCTAATTATTTTTGTTAAAATATTATGATGTTAAAACATCCAAAGAAACAATATTCCTGCGTGTGTGTTTTTTTTTATTAATCTGAAATTACGATTTATGTTGACTTGTTTCAAATTTCAATTCTGTGTATGTTTGCAGGTGTGTATGTATTTGTATGTAGGTGTGTACGCGTGTATGTGGTGATTATCACGTGGATTGATAATATTAATAATAATAATTATTATTATTGCAGTAATTCATGTATGGCAGTTGACAAATGATGATGGATAGAACTAAAGACACACGTTCAGACACCCTACAATAGTAGTATTTCTTGACCTTAAGACGACGGCATTTAATTAATCTTCTTGATAACGGTGTGCTGTTACGGGTATGAGGGTGGTTATCACTTCCCTGCTGCCCACACCGTGGAAGGTTGTTTCTTGAGGAACCTGAAAAGGAAGATAGATTAGTGTTGATCTTGGAGACCTGGGAGCGTGACCGCAGAGCCCAAGGAACAACTGCTTGAGGCCGGTCACGCACGGCCTTTTTTATGAAAGGTATTCTGAGGATTAGCTCCGCTCTTAAAGGCCCTTAGTGGGCACCTTTACCGACGCAGACGGAAATCCGTGAGGTAGGGTGAGGTGTGACATTTTTAGGGTCGACCTTTTCTAATCCTTCCTTCCTTGTGAGAAGGCAGCATCGTTGCAGATGCTGGTTGTCCGAGGGAAACACCTTACTGCTGTCACGCTTCTCTGCAGTCGGCAGTACGACTTCGCCCTCAGACCTTGAGTAGCTGCTTTTAGTGTGACCGTTCTCCAATCGACCTGCCTGGCATGGTAGAACCTTCAGGAACATAAGTTCCAGCCAATATAGCTCGGTTGGGTCATGACGATAGGCAAGCCCGATCACCACGTCAAGGTAGCAGCTTCGGTCGGGTCTCGATAACCACTAATACTTCTACTACTTATTTATACTACTATGGAAGTTGAACTGACAGTTGCGTCTCTGTGCTAATGTGCGGTATGGCAACCTGAATAAATGTAGGAGGTGCTAAGTTCTACGTTGTAACTGACTGACTGACTGACTGACTGGAGAACTCGTAGATTTTTTATCCTATCTTTATGCGAATAATTTTTTCATGAACAAGTCATAATAGAATAATAAATAGACTGCATTATCATATGATTGATGTAATAAGTAAGCAATAGGTTTTTAATACTGTTTTTAATAAAGATTTATCAATCACAAAGAATAAATTGCAAACATCTGATTATCATTTATTGTTGTTACCCACTTACTTACGCCTGTTATGCCTAGTGGAGCACAGGCCTCCGACCAGTATTCTCTAGTCTACTACATCCTAGACCTTTCTTTCTAATCCTGTCCAATTGTTGTTCATTCTTCTGATGTCTGTCTTCACTGTTTGGTGTATTGTGTTCTTTGATCTTTTTTTCTCTCTTACTTTGACCTTGAGGATTCCAGGTAAGGGCTTGTTGCTTTGTGATGCAATTGGATGCTTTCTTTCTTCAATGTTTGTCTTATCCACTTCCAGCGCTTCTTCCTAATTTCTTCCTCAGCTGGAATCTGAACCACCGTAGGTTACTGCCGGTGGTGTCTGGCCAATGGATTTGAAGTATCTTATGTAGACACTTGTTGTTGATAAATATTTTTTATCTTGTGGATGATGGCTTTCACTATTCTCCAACTTTTCTCTCCGTACAATCGAATGGTATTGATGTTGTATTGAAAATTCTGACTTTGGTGATTAGTTTGCTAAAAAAAACGCTCATTATGAAAAATTATTCATTAATAATTTAATTAGTCAGTCAGTCAGATGCAACGTAGAACTTTGTACATAAGTACATCAGTTCATGTTGCCATACCACATCAGCACAGAGAAGTAATCGTCATTTCGAATCCAATAGTAGAAGAGTTAGTAAGGGAATTAGAAGTAATCGGAGAGGTTAGGATTAGAAGATATTATTCAAGAAGTATGATTCAGTGAGAAAAGTTTAGAAAGTAAAAACTAGAGGTGTTGAAGAATCCACAAGATTAGGATTTGAGAGAGCACAAAGAATAAATGCACCGGCGGCATTGCGAACGATTTTGAGCCATGTCATTCAAGGTCTCTAGCCATCGATTATTATCATCTCGCGGACCCCAACCAGGTAGTCGACAATCACCGACATGGCTCAGTCCACTAGTCAATGACTTCATGGATTTCTGCCATGTTTTGGATTGGCCGCCCCTAACTTTCTTCCAACCTACTCCTACACTACAAAACAAGGCTCGACGAGGCAGTCGGTGGTTCGGCATACGCAAGACATGTCCCAACCACCTCAACTGATGAAGTTTCACCACTTCATCTATTGATCTGCCATCCTTACCTAGTACTCGTTTCCTAGCATTGCTCACTCGGTTGTCCCACGGTATACGAGCAATGCTTCGAAGACACCTATGATCGAAAACCAGTAATCTACGAATATCTTCTACTCTCACTGGCCGTGTTTCACAGCCATATAGGAGAACGGAGCGAACTGCTGCACAGTACACTCGTCCTTTGATTAGAGAACGGATATCACGCCTACGCCATAAGTAACGCAGGTTGGCAAAAGCCAATCGAGCCTTTTGTATCCGAGCTGAGATTTCGTCAGTCACCAGGCCATGAACACTGATGAGACTCCCCAGATAAGTGAAGCGGTCTACACATTCGACTACTTCACTCCCTATCACTAGTTCAGGTGCCGATGCAACCCAATCTTGAAGCAACATTTTGCATTTCGAGGGGGGAAACCGCATCCCGAACATGCTCGCATTGTTGCTTAGGGTAGCCAGAAGATTCTGCATTTTGTCAGCGTCTTCACCAAGTAGGACAATGTCATCGGCATATTCTAAGTCAATAAGCGAGCCACCTGGTAGAAGGTCTACTCCAGAAAATTCAGACGAGGATAAGCTTATTTCTAGCAGCATGTAAATGATAAGATTAAACAAGAATGGAGAGAGTGGACATCCCTGACGGACACCACTTGAAGTAGAGAATTCCCGTGACAGTTCGCCATAAGCTCTCACTCGACCAGTGGTGTTCGAGTAGAGAGCTTGTATGAGGTTAATGTACTTCTTTGGTACACCTTTCAATGACAATAATTGAATTAACTAAAAATCGTATCTGAACTACGGCTACACTATTAATCTTGACTGATACTGTCGAATTTGTTTTTTTTTCATTTTGTCTATTAAACTGAATTACAACATTGTTTTTCATGAGAATTCTGAACAATTCATCAGCAAGCGACTATTTACTCGGTTACAACGTAGAACTTCGTACATGTGTACATAAGTTCAGGTTAGCACAGAGAGGCGCACAGTCATTTCGAATCCCATAGTTGTAGTTATAGTAGAAGTAGTAGCAGTAATGGAAAAGATTGGTTGTTCAAAGATATGATTTGAGAAGTATTATAATTGAGTGAGATAACTTTAGAAAGAGAAAGACAAAGACGATGAGGAATTCAGAAGGTGAGAATTTGAGAGAACACAAAGAATGAATGCACCTGCACCATGTCATTTAGGGTCTCTAACCATTGGTGACTTTTATCTCGCAGACCCCAACCAGGTAGTCTACATCTACCAACATGACTCAGTCTGTTTTTCAGTGACTTCATGGGTTTGTACCATATTTTGACCCCTAGCTTTCTTCCAACCTATTCCTACATCGCAAAGCATAGCTCGTCAAGGTAGTTAGTCGGCGGTTAAGCATAGGTAACACATGTTTCAACCACGTCAACTGATGTAGTTTCAATACTTCATCAATTGATTTGCCGTTCCTACCTAGAACTCGTTTACGTATGATTGTTAAAACTTATGCTTCATTCTAAAAGAATAAAAAGAATACTATTGTTAAGTGTAAAGATTTTGTAGCATTTTGTAAAGTATTCAACAAAACGAATATGATGAGATGATATTGTTTGAAATTAAAGATTTATAATATACAGCTGGATTACATTTCACTGACTTACTGTTACCGCCCATATAGACCAGCATTCTCCAACTTACTCTGTCCTGAGCATTTCTTTCTAGTTCAGTCTAATTTTTGTTCATCCTTCTCATGTTTATCTCCATTTCTCAAGCGTAATGTGTTCCTTGGGCTTCCTCTTTTCTTTTGACCGTGAGGGTTTCAAGTGAGGGCTTGTCTTGTGACGTGGCTGGGCTCTTTCCGCAAAATGTGTCCAAACCACTTCCATAGATTCTTCATAATTTCTTTCTCAGCTGGTATCTGATTTGAGTAAGAATCAAAAGTTATGCGATTGAATTAAGGGTGAAGGATGAGAATATTGATGTTGCAAATTAATAGTGATGTTACTATGGGGGTAAAAAAAAAGTTGTTTACCTCTGTTTCTAACTTTACTAAATCAAATCAATCTCAGTTTATCACATGCCTTTTTGCTGTTGTTGACTTCCTCGTACGTTGATCGCATCATGTATTGTCTTCATCTTGCGTCACAACCTCATTTTTCCACTGATCAATTTCAATTCATGTAATTTTCAATTACCCATTCATGTCTGTTCATTACCATCATCGATTGATTTGCAGCTCTATGAATTTTACTGATGACTACATTGTATATACGTGAATTTTTTTCTTGCTCATTGAATTGATTTACAATGTTGCATTTGAACCATTTTCCAGTCATGTTAATTGCGTATTGATATCTAACCAACAACAAAACTTCTGGTGTTAAAGTGTGATAAGTTGATGGAGAAGATTTTTGTAGCACATATGTAGATGGTTCGATTTCGGCGGCGTTCTTACTGATGATGTTGTCTTGCAAGGGCAATGAAAGTTTCACGCTAGCGAATTATGCAAATGAGAGGTCGAAATTCCACTAAAATTATGATAAAGAAGTTGTGAGTAGCTGATAAAAACTCATCGAAATTCATGTTAGTTATCCTGTGTTTTTGATTCTATTCAAGTTAGAAGGAAGGAAATAGGTGGTGTACGAGACTTGATAGATGTGCAGATTATTTTCAACTGTTTTTTGTCCACTGGTCAATCATTTCATTATCATGAACTAGTGAATCCAAGCAAAATGTATACTCTTTTATTTTCTATTCATCATCCACTAACCTTCATCGTCTAGTGTTGTAAATGCATACTGAATACATCAGTAGACTGTATACTTGGAAGGGGTAGGAAGGATTTGATTTTGACCGATTTGGTCTCGTGTGTTGTTATGCGTATGAGGGCGGTTGTCACTTCCCGGCTGCCCACACCGTGGAAGACTGTTTCTTGAGGAACCTGAAAAGGAAAATAGATTAGTGTTGGTCTTAGAGACCTGGGAGCGTGACAGCAGAGCCCAAGGGACAACTGGTTGAGGCCGGTCACACACGGTCTTTTTATGAGAAGTTTTTTGAGTGTTAGCTCCGTTCCTAAAGGCCCTCAGTGGGCACCCTTACCCAAGGAGACGGAAATCCGTGAGGTAGGGTGAGGTGTGACATTTTTAGGGTCAACTTTTTCTAACCCTTCCTTCCTTGTGAGAAAGCAACATCGCTGCAGATGCTGCTTGTTGTCCGAGGGAAACACCTTACTGCTGTCACATCCCTCCACAGTCAGTCAGCAGTACGACTTCGCCCTCAGATTTTGAGTAGCTGCTTTTAGCCTCATCGTTCTCCAATCGACCTGCCAGGCATAGTGGAACCTTCAAGAACATAAGTTCCAGCCAATATAGCTCGGTTGGGTCATGACGATAGGCAAGCCCGATCACCACGTCAAGGTAGCAGCTTCGGTTGGGTATTGGAAATCGTATTTGATTATATCAACTGATTGTGCAATCAATAATCATTGATTTGTAACAATGATTTTTAGTTGTGATGATCTCTTCAGCTCTTTACGTTCATATATTTGGATGATTTGTGAATATTTTTTCTAAATTTCAACTGGGAACAATTTTTCTTTTTTTTTCTTTTTCCTTATGAATTACTGTTGTTGTGTTTGCAACATTCACTGTTAACTTCATTAACAAAAATACATCAAAATACTTAGTTATTCAATAATAGCATTGCGGGGTTGTTGTGAAGATTGTTAAGTTTTGATTGTAACTATGAATCAGTCATTGTTAGACCACCATTAGAAACCTGGAAGCACTGGACTACCGTTTCGTCCTGATATAGGACTCATCAACAGTGCGCATCCACGATTCCTGCACCCCGCAGGATTCGAATCCAGGATCTTCGGTATTGTGCGCGAACGCCCTAACCGTTAGACCACTGAGCCGTTATTTAACGGTGTTATTGTCAAACTTGATAAAATTAACGGAGTTGCGCAACCTCATACCCTGTATACATCTGAACAGGTTTTTAACTTCACTGGTCATAACTTCTATTCAATAATAATTCCTGAAAATGTTACATTGTCCACTACTTACTGAACTGGTGTCCTGAATGTAGGCAGTGATTACGCAGCTAATTATGGACTAATACGAAACAATCATGATAAAATTAAGTGTGTTACCCCCCGAATGGAACGCAGACCGCCCAACCAGTTTTCTCCCTAATCCAACTCTGTCCCAATCATATATATGAGATTGTTTATTGTAGTAAAATGAATCATGTGTTGCCTTAATGTATGTTCTTGTACATTTTTTACGCACATCTCTGTATTCATCAAGTATATTTAACATACATACGCATAGGTAAATCATAAGGAGTTGTGTTGTTTTTTTTTATCTCTGTTTTTCAATTTCTAGTCAACAACTATGCAATACATTGTAGAGGATAAAAAAACAACTAAACTAGTTCAAATGACAATTGAACAACAACAACAACAACAACATTCAATGCATTCAATGAAGCCTAATGAAGAACATTCAGTTTTTAATTCAGCTGAACAAACTTTACTTAAATTAGCTGAATTGCATGAACTTTTACAGAAACAACTTATTCAAAAGTCAAATATATCATTAGATGCGAACTATGCTGTAAATCAGGTAACTAATACAATAATCGATAATCAATATGATATTATAAATGATGAGAAATTTACTGAAAAACTTCAGTCACTTTTAAATGTAATCTATGATGAGTTATCCTTATGTCAACAGTTAGTAGATAAATTATTAAATCAAAAATCTAATCATTGTACATACCTTTCAGAGAAAACTAAACAAATTCAAGAATTGAATCAGCAATTAAAAATACCGTATCGTGATGAATTAAGAGCACCGAGACACTTTATCGACCGAGCAGTTCAGGTAATGGACAGTGTAATGCGGTACAGTACGCA